GGTGGCAGACCTTGGATGGTGGCAGACCTCGGTATAGGCCTTGGATGGTGGCAGACCTTGGTATAGGCCTTGGATGGTGGCAGGCCTTGGATGGTGGCAGACCTTGGATGGTGGCAGGCCTTGGTATAGGCCTTGGATGGTGGCAGGCCTTGGATGGTGGCAGACCTTGGATGGTGTCAGACCTTGGTATAGACCTTGGATGGTGGCAGACCTTGGATGGTGGCAGACCTTGGTATAGGCCTTGGATGGTGGCAGACCTTGGATGGTGGCAGGCCTTGGATGGTGGCAGACCTTGGATGGTGGCAGACCTTGGTATAGGCCTTGGATGGTGGCAGACCTTGGATGGTGGCAGACCTTGGTATAGGCCTTGGTATAGGCCTTGGATGGTGGCAGACCTTGGATGGTGGCAGACCTTGGATGGTGGCAGACCTTGGATGGTGGCAGACCTTGGTATAGGCCTTGGTATAGGCCTTGGATGGTGGCAGACCTTGGATGGTGGCAGACCTTGGTATAGGCCTTGGATGGTGGCAGACCTTGGATGGTGGCAGACCTTGGTATAGGCCTTGGTATAGGCCTTGGATGGTGGCAGACCTTGGATGGTGGCAGACCTTGGATGGTGGCAGACCTTGGTATAGGCCTTGGTATAGGCCTTGGATGGTGGCAGACCTTGGATGGTGGCAGACCTTGGTATAGGCCTTGGATGGTGGCAGGCCTTGGTATAGGCCTTGGATGGTGGCAGACCTTGGATGGTGTCAGACCTTGGATGGTGGCAGACCTTGGATGGTGGCAGACCTTGGATGGTGGCAGACCTTGGTATAGGCCTTGGATGGTGTCAGACCTTGGATGGTGGCAGACCTTGGTATAGGCCTTGGATGGTGGCAGGCCTTGGTATAGGCCTTGGATGGTGGCAGACCTTGGTATAGACCTTGGATGGTGGCAGGCCTTGGATGGTGGCAGACCTTGGATGGTGGCAGACCTTGGATGGTGGCAGACCTTGGATGGTGTCAGACCTTGGATGGTGGCAGACCTTGGATGGTGGCAGACCTTGGATGGTGGCAGACCTTGGATGGTGGCAGACCTTGGATGGTGGCAGACCTTGGTATAGGCCTTGGATGGTGGCAGACCTTGGATGGTGTCAGACCTTGGATGGTGGCAGACCTTGGATGGTGGCAGACCTTGGATGGTGGCAGGCCTTGGATGGTGGCAGACCTTGGATGGTGGCAGACCTTGGATGGTGTCAGACCTTGGATGGTGGCAGACCTTGGATGGTGGCAGACCTTGGATGGTGGCAGACCTTGGTATAGGCCTTGGATGGTGGCAGACCTTGGATGGTGTCAGACCTTGGATGGTGGCAGACCTTGGTATAGGCCTTGGATGGTGGCAGACATTGGATGGTGGCAGACCTTGGTATAGGCCTTGGATGGTGGCAGACCTTGGTATAGGCCTTGGATGGTGGCAGACCTTGGTATAGGCCTTGGATGGTGGCAGACCTTGGTATAGGCCTTGGATGGTGGCAGACCTTGGTATAGGCCTTGGATGGTGGCAGACCTTGGTATAGACCTTGGATGGTGGCAGACCTTGGTATAGGCCTTGGATGGTGGCAGACCTCAATATAGGCCTTGGATTGTGGCAGACCTTGGATGGTGGCAGACCTTGGATGGTGGCAGACCTTAGTATAGACCTTGGATGGTGGCAGACCTTGGTATAGACCTTGGATGGTGGCAGACCTTGGATGGTGTCAGACCTTGGATGGTGGCAGACCTTGGTATAGGCCTTGGATGGTGGCAGACCTTGGATGGTGGCAGACCTTGGTATAGGCCTTGGATGGTGGCAGACCTTGGATGGTGTCAGACCTTGGATGGTGGCAGACCTTGGTATAGGCCTTGGATGGTGGCAGACATTGGATGGTGGCAGACCTTGGTATAGGCCTTGGATGGTGGCAGACCTTGGTATAGGCCTTGGATGGTGGCAGACCTTGGTATAGGCCTTGGATGGTGGCAGACCTTGGTATAGGCCTTGGATGGTGGCAGACCTTGGTATAGGCCTTGGATGGTGGCAGACCTTGGTATAGACCTTGGATGGTGGCAGACCTTGGTATAGGCCTTGGATGGTGGCAGACCTCAATATAGGCCTTGGATTGTGGCAGACCTTGGATGGTGGCAGACCTTGGATGGTGGCAGACCTTAGTATAGACCTTGGATGGTGGCAGACCTTGGTATAGACCTTGGATGGTGGCAGACCTTGGTATAGGCCTTGGATGGTGGCAGACCTTGGTATAGACCTTGGATGGTGGCAGACCTTGGATGGTGGCAGACCTTGGATGGTGGCAGACCTTGGATGGTGGCAGACCTTGGATGGTGGCAGACCTTGGATGGTGGCAGACCTTGGTATAGGCCTTGGATGGTGGCAGACCTCAATATAGGCCTTGGATTGTGGCAGACCTTGGATGGTGGCAGACCTTGGATGGTGGCAGACCTTAGTATAGACCTTGGATGGTGGCAGACCTTGGTATAGGCCTTGGATGGTGGCAGACCTTGGATGGTGGCAGGCCTTGGATGGTGGCAGACCTTGGATGGTGGCAGACCTTGGTATAGGCCTTGGATGGTGGCAGACCTTGGATGGTGGCAGACCTTGGATGGTGGCAGACCTTGGATGGTGGCAGACCTTGGATGGTGGCAGACCTTGGATGGTGGCAGACCTTGGATGGTGGCAGACCTTGGATGGTGGCAGACCTTGGATGGTGGCAGACCTTGGTATAGACCTTGGATGGTGGCAGACCTTGGATGGTGGCAGGCCTAAGGCTGGTTGCAAAGGCTGGCTTATTGACAAAACTGATGTCTTGTTCCTATTAGTCTGACATCGTGTACCTGTGGCCACATGTTTGTATCAACGGCCCAAGGTCCTGTTAATATGGCCAGATGTTCGCACCCATGGCCTGATGTCATCTTCCTATGGCCAGATGTTTTCTTCCTATGGCCAGATGTTTTCTTCCTATGGCCAGATGTTTTCTTCCTGTTGCCGGAAATGGTCCAGTTGCTGTATGATGAACTAGATTGTATGATAAACTAGATTGTATGATGAACTAGATTGTATGATGAACTAGATTGTATGATGAACTAGATTGTATGATGAACTAGATTGTATGATGAACTAGATTGTATGATGAACTAGATTGTATGATGAACTAGATTGTATGATGAACTAGATTGTATGATGAACTAGATTGTATGATGAACTAGATTGTATGATGAACTAGATTGTATGATAAACTAGATTGTATGATAAACTAGATTGTATGATAAACTAGATTGTATGATGAACTAGATTGTATGATGAACTAGATTGTATGATGAACTAGATTGTATGATGAACTAGATTGTATGATGAACTAGATTGTATGATGAACTAGATTGTATGATGAACTAGATTGTATGATGAACTAGATTGTATGATGAACTAGATTGTATGATGAACTAGATTGTATGATGAACTAGATTGTATGATAAACTAGATTGTATGATGAACTAGATTGTATGATGAACTAGATTGTATGATGAACTAGATTGTATGATGAACTAGATTGTATGATGAACTAGATTGTATGATGAACTAGATTGTATGATGAACTAGATTGTATGATGAACTAGATTGTATGATGAACTAGATTGTATGATGAACTAGATTGTATGATGAACTAGATTGTATGATGAACTAGATTGTATGATGAACTAGATTGTATGATGAACTAGATTGTATGATGAACTAGATTGTATGATGAACTAGATTGTATGATGAACTAGATTGTATGATGAACTAGATTGTATGATGAACTAGATTGTATGATGAACTAGATTGTATGATGAACTAGATTGTATGATGAACTAGATTGTATGATGAACTAGATTGTATGATGAACTAGATTGTATGATGAACTAGATTGTATGATGAACTAGATTGTATGATGAACTAGATTGTATGATGAACTAGATTGTATGATGAACTAGATTGTATGATGAACTAGATTGTATGATGAAGTAGATTGTATGATGAACTAGATTGTATGATGAACTAGATTGTATGATGAACTAGATTGTATGATGAACTAGATTGTATGATGAACTAGATTGTATGATGAACTAGATTGTATGATGAACTAGATTGTATGATGAACTAGATTGTATGATGAACTAGATTGTATGATGAACTAGATCATTCAGTAAGGATTACCCATCAGTGCAAGGAGTGAAGGTAGAACTAAGGAGGATGACATATACCTGTGTGAATTCTGAGTTGTGTATATACAGATGTGATACTCACACTTAGACACTATATATATATATATATATATATATATATATATATATATATATATATATATATATATATATATATATATATATATATATATATATATATATATATATATATATATATATATATATATATTGTTCTATATCAAAACAATAAATTAAGGTTAGTAGCCAAGGTGAATATTTCCCCAGTTGAAATGTAAGTTTGATTTTTTTGCTGGTATTTTGGCTTGCATTAGAATTTCAAGAGATGTTTTCTTGAATATGAATGTTGGGCAGTGTCTTATTAATATTGTTTTTGTTGCTTTTAATGTTGGGCAGTGTCTTATTCATATTGTTTTTGTTGCTTTTAAACATGTAAACCAACGTGACATCAAATAAATGTATTGGACTGTGTGTTTGAATATTAGTTTAGCACCCGTGCTAGATCTAGAAATAAGTTTGCTCAGGTCTGGTCAACCTTCTACCCCAATGAGGGGCATGGATGGGTGTACCAACACCACCACCCAACATTAACCCTGATTTTCTCCCCTAACATAATTAAAAATTTAACGCTAAGCAACTAGTGAGTAACTAGTGTTGCTAATACTCAAATAATAGTTAATAGATCTAACAAATTATTACTATTTGTAATAGTAATATTCTAAGTAAACTCAAATGAAAAGTAAACTCTTATTTGAATGTTGCTAGAAGTGAAAAATGGCGCTACAGATCCCAGAGCATCTGACTCAGGAGACCAAACTCTACCTGACTGGTTCCTTGGACAGCTTGAGCTCTCTGAAGGATAACTGGTACTCTGTTCCTGACCCAGCTCTCAAGGGGGTCAGCGTGCCCTGCCCGTGTGGAGAAACAGTTGAGGTTGTCACAGGTTTATCAACCAACATCCACACTGACCCCTACAATGACGATGAGGTTAGTTGTAAAGATGTTTTATTGTTGATGAGGTTAGTTGTAAAGATGTTTTATTGTTGATGAGGTTAGTTGTAAAGATGTTTTATTGTTGATGAGGTTAGTTGTAAAGATGTTTTATTATTGATGAGGTTAGTTGTAAAGATGTTTTATTGTTGATGAGGTTAGTTGTAAAGATGTTTTATTGTTGATGAGGTTAGTTGTAAAGATGTTTTATTGTTGATGAGGTTAGTTGTAAAGATGTTTTATTGTTGATGAGGTTAGTTGTAAAGATGTTTTATTGTTGATGAGGTTAGTTGTAAAGATGTTTTATTGTTGATGAGGTTAGTTGTAAAGATGTTTTATTGTTGATGAGGTTAGTTGTAAAGATGTTTTATTGTTGATGAGGTTAGTTGTAAAGATGTTTTATTGTTGATGAGGTTAGTTGTAAAGATGTTTTATTGTTGATGAGGTTAGTTGTAAAGATGTTTTATTGTTGATGAGGTTAGTTGTAAAGATGTTTTATTGTTGATGAGGTTAGTTGTAAAGATGTTTTATTGTTGATGAGGTTAGTTGTAAAGATGTTTTATTGTTGATGAGGTTAGTTGTAAAGATGTTTTATTGTTGATGAGGTTAGTTGTAAAGATGTTTTATTGTTGATGAGGTTAGTTGTAAAGATGTTTTATTGTTGATGAGGTTAGTTGTACTAGGTGCTGTTGGATTAAGCTGGTTTACACTAGGTGCTGTTGGATTAAGCTGGTTTACACTAGGTGCTGTTGGATTAAGCTGGTTTACACTAGGTGCTGTTGGATTAAGCTGGTTTACACTAGGTCCTGTTGGATTAAGCTGGTTTACACTAGGTGCTGTTGGATTAAGCTGGTTTACACTAGGTCCTGTTGGATTAAGCTGTGATGGGGACCATGTTTCAGGCTGAGTCGCGGTTCCTGTACTCCAAGCCTCCATGTTTTATCATAGTTGGCAAGCCAGGCTGTGGGAAGACAACTCTGGCCAGAAAGTTAGCCACTGAGTGGAGCTGTCAGCTCATTAACTGTAAGTCTGATCTTCATTCAAGTTGGGACTGGTAAATGGGAAGGTTTGAATGGTAAATGTGAAGGTTTGAATGGTAAATGTGAAGGTTTGAATGGTAAATGTGAAGATTTGAATGTTAAATTGAAGGTTTGAATGGTAAATGTGAAGGTTTGAATGGTAAATGTGAAGATTTGAATGTTAAATTGAAGGTTTGAATGGTAAATGGGAAGGTTTGAATGGTAAATGTGAAGGTTTGAAAGTGTGACTGGCCATTGTTGTAGCTAGTCTCCTATGTCTCATATGTCTCGCACCCAGCCACTGACTTGATACAAGAGAACATGGACCTGCAGACAGAGATTGGGACCAAATGCAAGGAGATCCTTCTGGCTGGTCAGGCTGTGAGCGATGAGATGGTGCTCAAGATGGTGGTGGACAAGGTCAACTCACCAGAGGTGGCTCATCATGGTGAGAGCTTCTAGAACAATCTGTCAGAGATAGCTAGGTTCTAGAACAATCTGTCAGAGATAGCTTCTAGAACAATCTGTCAGATATAGCTTCTAGAACAATCTATCAGAGATAGCTTCTAGAACAATCTGTCAGATATAGCTAGGTTCTAGAACAATCTGTAAGATATAGCTAGGTTCTAGAACAATCTGTCAGATATAGCTAGGTTCTAGAACAATCTGTCAGAGATAGCTTCTAGAACAATCTGTCAGATATAGCTTCTAGAACAATCTGTCAGAGATAGCTTCTAGAACAATCTGTCAGATATAGCTAGGTTCTAGAACAATCTGTAAGATATAGCTAGGTTCTAGAACAATCTGTCAGAGATAGCTTCTAGAACAATCTGTCAGATATAGCTAGGTTCTAGAACAATCTGTCAGAGATAGCTAGGTTCTAGAACAATCTGTCAGAGATAGCTAGCTTCTAGAACAATCTGTCAGAGATAGCTAGGTTCTAGAACAATCTGTCAGAGATAGCTTCTAGAACAATCTGTCAGAGATAGTTAGGTTCTAGAACAATCTGTCAGAGATAGCTAGGTTCTAGAACAATCTGTCAGAGATAGCTTCTAGAACAATCTGTCAGAGATAGCTTCTAGAACAATCTGTCAGATATAGCTAGGTTCTAGAACAATCTGTAAGATATAGCTAGGTTCTAGAACAATCTGTCAGAGATAGCTTCTAGAACAATCTGTCAGATATAGCTAGGTTCTAGAACAATCTGTCAGAGATAGCTAGGTTCTAGAACAATCTGTCAGAGATAGCTAGCTTCTAGAACAATCTGTCAGAGATAGCTAGGTTCTAGAACAATCTGTCAGAGATAGCTTCTAGAACAATCTGTCAGAGATAGCTAGGTTCTAGAACAATCTGTCAGAGATAGCTAGGTTCTAGAACAATCTGTCAGAGATAGCTAGGTTCTAGAACAATCTGTCAGAGATAGCTTCTAGAACAATCTGTCAGAGATAGCTTCTAGAACAATCTGTCAGAGATAGTTAGGTTCTAGAACAATCTGTCAGAGATAGCTTCTAGAACAATCTGTCAGAGATAGCTAGGTTCTAGAAGAATCTGTCAGAGATAGCTAGGTTCTAGAACAATCTGTAAGCTAGGTTCTATAAGAATGTGTTTCCTACCTGCCAGGCTATGTGCTGGATGACTTGCCCTGCCTGTATGAGGGAGTGCTGTCAGTGACTGAACAAATTGAGATGATCAAAAGTTGGAAGCTCAGGCCTGATTTCATCATCAACATCAGGGTAAGTTGCTGCTACATGGCTACATGCTTACAAGGCTACATGCTTACATGGCTACATGCTTACATGGCTACATGCTTACATGGCTACATGCTTACATGGCTACATGCTTACATGGCTACATGCCTTCACTGCTACATGCTTACATGGCTCCATGCTTACATGGCTCCATGCTTACATGGCTTCATGCTTACATGGCTACATGGCTACATGCCTTCACTGCTACATGCTTACATGCTTACATGGCTATGTGCTTACATGGCTACATGCTTACATGGCTACATGGCTACATGCTTACATGGCTCCATGCTTACATGACTACATGCTTACATGGCTCCATGCTTACATGGCTCCATGCTTACATGGCTTCATGCTTACATGGCTACATGCTTACATGGCTACATGCCTTCACTGCTACATGCTTACATGCTTACATGGCTATGTGCTTACATAGTTACATGCTTACATGGCTACATGCTTACATGGCTCCATGCTTACATGGCTCCATGCTTACATGACTACATGCTTACATGGCTACATGCTTACATGGCTCCATGCTTACATGACTACATGCTTACATGGCTACATGCTTACATGGTTACATGCTTACATGGCTATGTGCTTACATAGTTACATGCTTACATTGCTACATGCTTACATGGCTACATGGCTACATGGCTATGTGCTTACATGGCTACATGGCTACATGCTTACATGCTTACATGGCTCCATGCTTACATGACTACATGCTTACATGGCTACATGCCTTCACTGCTACATGCTTACATGGCTACATGCTTACATGGCTATGTGCTTACATAGTTACATGCTTACATCACTTGACCACTTAATAAGGATGGAATTCTTTGACTCAGATTCCAGACAAAGATATTGAACAGAGAAGACTAGGTCAGAAGGTCGACCCAGAAAATGGACAGCTGTACACACAGGAAGTCTACGCCCCAGAAAAGCCTGCTGTTGTTGTAAGTTTTGTTGTGTGTTGGTTGCTTGAGTTTGTGTTGTTGTAAGTTTTTCTATCAGTTTTTGTCTGCTGTTGTTGTAAGTTTTTCTATCAGTTTTTGTCTGCTGTTGTTGTAAGTTTTTCTATCAGTTTTTGTCTGCTGTTGTTGTAAGTTTTTCTATCAGTTTTTGTCTGCTGTTGTTGTAAGTTTTTCTATCAGTTTTTGTCTGCTGTTGTTGTAAGTTTTTCTATCAGTTTTTGTCTGCTGTTGTTGTAAGTTTTTCTATCAGTTTTTGTCTGCTGTTGTTGTAAGTTTTTCTATCAGTTTTTGTCTGCTGTTGTTGTAAGTTTTTCTATCAGTTTTTGTCTGCTGTTGTTGTAACTTTTGTTGTGTGCTGGTTGCTTAAGTTAGTGTTGTTGTAAGTTTTGTTGTGTGTTGGTTGCTTAAGTTAGTTCTAAAGCTTTATGTCATTGGATCAAGTGCTTGGTGTTGTTTATCAAACCTGAGCCAATCAATCACACACATAAACAACACCAATCACACACATAAACAACACCAATCACACACATAAACAACACCAATCACACACATAAACAACACCAATCACACACATAAACAACACCAATCACACACATGAACAACACCAATCACACACATAACACCAATCATACATATGAACAACACCAATCACACACATAACAACAATCACACAAATGAACAACACCAATCACATATATGAACAACACCAATCATACAAATGAACAACACCAATCACACATATGAACAGCACAATCACACACATGAACAACACCAATCACACACATGAACAACACCAATCACACACATAACACCAATCACACATATGAACAACGCCAATCACACACATGAACAACACCAATCACACACATAACACCAATCACACATATGAACAACACCAATCACACCAATCACACACACGAACAACACCAATCACACATGAACAACACCAATTACACACATAACACCAATTACACACATAACACCAATCACACACATAACACCAATCACACACATAACACCAATCACACATATGAACAACGCCAATCACACACATGAACAACACCAATCACACACATAACACCAATCACACACATAACACCAATCACACATATGAACAACGCCAATCACACATATGAACAACACCAATCACACACATGATCAACACCAATCACACACATAACAACAATCACACATATGAACAATACCAATGACACACATGAACAACACCAATCACACACATAACACCAATCACACACATAACACCAATCACACACATAAACAACACCAATCACACACATAACACCAATCACACACATAACACCAATCACACCAATCACACACACGAACAACACCAATCACACATGAACAACACCAATCACACACATAACACCAATCACACACATAACGCCAATCACACACATAACACCAATCACACACATAACACCAATCACACACATAACACCAATCACACATGAACAACACCAATCACACACATAACACCAATTACACACATAACACCAATCACACACATAACACCAATCACACATGAACAACACCAATCACACACATGAACAACACCAATCACACACATGAACAACACCAATCACACACATAACACCAATCACACACATAACACCAATCACACACATGAACAATACCAATCACACACATAACACCAATCACACACATAACACCAATCACACACATAAACAACACCAATCACACATGAACAACACCAATCACACATATGAACAACACCAATCACACACATGAACAACACCAATCACACACATAACACCAATCACACATATGAACAACACCAATCACACACATAAAAACAATCACACATATGAACAACACCAATGACACATGAACAACACCAATCACACACATAACACCAATCACACACATAAACAACACCAATCACACATGAACAACACCAATCACACATATGAACAACACCAATCACACATGAACAACACCAATCACACACATGAACAACACCAATCACACACATGAACAACACCAATCATACACATGAACAACACCAATCATATATGAACTTTAGTATTCAGACTTATAGAACATGTTACAAAACATTTTAGAAAACAAACATATGACCTTTGACCTGGAGCTATATAGGCCTAGATAATGAATACAAAACCTTCATTAAACATTTTTGGGATTTAATTAAAGACATAATAAGTAATTATAAAACATAATAATTTTTAAGTAGAGAAGTTATAAATTTTGAAAGTGTGTGCTCAAAAATTGAAGATGAGTAAACTGGTTACCTTTAGCTATCAGCTGAAGCCTAGAAATTAGCATGCGCCTACTATGCTTCAATACATGCACACTCATCTGAAAATTTAGAACATGGTGAAAACAAAAACTTAGTCCCGAATATAAAAAGGGGCGTGGTTTTGTGTCAAGCCACTAAGAAGATGTTCTATATACGCAAACATGTTTAGTAAACATTTAAGTAGGTTAAGTCTAGTATCCATGTTGTAAGTCAGTAGTGTGAAACTTTGCTCTCGTTCCTATACAGAAACTCTATAAATATTTGGACTCAATAAAACATGTAGCCAAAATACAAATATTTGGACTCAATAAAACATGTAGCCAAAATACAAATATTTGGACTTAATAAAACATGTAGCCAAAATATAAATATTTGGACTCAATAAAACATGTAGCCAAAATACAAATATTTGGACTCAATAAAACATGTAGCCAAAATACAAATATTTGGACTCAATAAAACATGTAGCCAAAATACAAATATTTGGACTCAATAAAACATGTAGCCAAAATATAAATATTTGGACCAATAAAACATGTAGCCAAAATACAAATATTTGGACTCAATAAAACATGTAGCCAAAATACAAATATTTGGACTCAATAAAACATGTAGCCAAAATACAAATAGTTGGACTCAATAAAACATGTAGCCTAAATACAAATATTTGGACTCAATAAAACATGTAGCCAAAATACAAATATTTGGACTCAATAAAACATGTAGCCAAAATATAAATATTTGGACTCAATAAAACATGTAGCCAAAATATAAATATTTGGACTCAATAAAACATGTAGCCAAAATACAAATATTTGGACTCAATAAAACATGTAGCCAAAATACAAATATTTGGACTCAATAAAACATGTAGCCAAAATCTAAATATTTGGACCAATAAAACATGTAGCCAAAATATAAATATTTGGACTCAATAAAACATGTAGCCAAAATACAAATATTTGGACTCAATAAAACATGTAGCCAAAATACAAATATTTGGACTTAATAAAACATGTAGCCAAAATATAAATATTTGGACCAATAAAATATGTAGCCAAAATATAAATATTTGGACTCAATAAAACATGTAGCCAAAATACAAATATTTGGACTCAATAAAACATGTAGCCAAAATACAAATATTTGGACTCAATAAAACATGTAGCCAAAATACAAATATTTGGACTCAATAAAACATGTAGCCAAAATATAAATATTTGGACTCAATAAAACATGTAGCCAAAATATAAATATTTGGACTCAATAAAACATGTAGCCAAAATACAAATATTTGGACTCAATAAAACATGTAGCCAAAATACAAATATTTGGACTCAATAAAACATGTAGCCAAAATCTAAATATTTGGACCAATAAAACATGTAGCCAAAATATAAATATTTGGACTCAATAAAACATGTAGCCAAAATACAAATATTTGGACTCAATAAAACATGTAGCCAAAATACAAATATTTGGACTCAATAAAACATGTAGCCAAATACAAATATTTGAACTCAATAAACATGTAGCCAAAATACAAATATTTGGACTAAATAAAACATGTAGCCAAAATACAAATATTTGGACTCAATAAAACATGTAGCCAAAATATAAATATTTGGACTCAATAAAACATGTAGCCAAAATACAAATATTTGGACTCAATAAAACATGTAGCCAAAATACAAATATTTGGACTCAATAAAACATGTAGCCAAAATACAAATATTTGGACTCAATAAAACATGTAGCCAAAATATAAATATTTGGACCAATAAAACACATAGCCAAAATATAAATATTTGGACTCAATAAAACATGTAGCCAAAATATAAATATTTGGACTCAATAAAACATGTAGCCAAAATACAAATATTTGGACTCAATAAAACATGTAGCCAAAATACAAATATTTGGACTTAATAAAACATGTAGCCAAAATATAAATATTTGGACCAATAAAATATGTAGCCAAAATATAAATATTTGGACTCAATAAAACATGTAGCCAAAATACAAATATTTGGACTCAATAAAACATGTAGCCAAAATACAAATATTTGGACTCAATAAAACATGTAGCCAAAATACAAATATTTGGACTCAATAAAACATGTAGCCAAAATATAAATATTTGGACTCAATAAAACATGTAGCCAAAATATAAATATTTGGACTCAATAAAACATGTAGCCAAAATACAAATATTTGGACTCAATAAAACATGTAGCCAAAATACAAATATTTGGACTCAATAAAACATGTAGCCAAAATCTAAATATTTGGACCAATAAAACATGTAGCCAAAATATAAATATTTGGACTCAATAAAACATGTAGCCAAAATACAAATATTTGGACTCAATAAAACATGTAGCCAAAATACAAATATTTGGACTCAATAAAACATGTAGCCAAATACAAATATTTGAACTCAATAAACATGTAGCCAAAATACAAATATTTGGACTCAATAAAACATGTAGCCAAATACAAATATTTTGACTCAATAAAACATGTAGCCAAAATACAAATATTTGGACTCAATAAAACATGTAGCCAAAATATAAATATTTGGACTCAATAAAACATGTAGCCAAAATACAAATATTTGGACTCAATAAAACATGTAGCCAAAATACAAATATTTGGACTCAATAAAACATGTGGTTAAAATATTTTTTCCCCTTGGCAGGAGCAACCTGTAGAGAAAGTTTTAGACGAGGACGAAGAAGAGGCAGTGGAAGAGGGAGCAGCTGAAGAGGACCAGGAAATAGATGAGGTGAGGACAGTTTGTGTGTACAATATTTGGTGAGGACAGTTTGTGTGTACATGAGGTGAGGACAGTTTGTGTGTACATGAGGTGAGGACAGTTTGTGTGTACATGAGGTGAGGACAGTTTGTGTGTACATGAGGTGAGGACAGTTTGTGTGTACAATATTTGGTGAGGACAGTTTGTGTGTACATGAGGTGAGGACAGTTTGTGTGTACATGAGGTGAGGACAGTTTGTGTGTACATGAGGTGAGGACAGTTTGTGTGTACATGAGGTGAGGACAGTTTGTGTGTACAATATTTGGTGAGGTGAGGACAGTTTGTGTGTACATGAGGTGAGGACAGTTTGTGTGTACATGAGGTGAGGACAGTTTGTGTGTACATGAGGTGAGGACAGTTTGTGTGTACATGAGGTGAGGACAGTTTGTGTGTACATGAGGTGAGGACAGTTTGTGTGTACAATATTTGGTGAGGTGAGGACAGTTTGTGTGTACATGAGGTGAGGACAGTTTGTGTGTACATGAGGTGAGGACAGTTTGTGTGTACTTGAGGTGAGGACAGTTTGTGTGTACAATATTTGGTGAGGTGAGGACAGTTTGTGTGTACATGAGGTGAGAAAAGTTTGTGTGTACATGAGGTGAGGACAGTTTGTGTGTACATGAGGTGAGGACAGTTTGTGTGTACAATATTTGGTGAGGTGAGGACAGTTTGTGTGTACATGAGGTGAGGACAGTTTGTGTGTACATGAGGTGAGGACAGTTTGTGTGTACATGAGGTGAGGACAGTTTGTGTGTACATGAGGTGAGGACAGTTTGTGTGTACAATATTTGGTGAGGTGAGGACAGTTTGTGTGTACATGAGGTGAGAAAAGTTTGTGTGTACATGAGGTGAGGACAGTTTGTGTGTACATGAGGTGAGGACAGTTTGTGTGTACAATATTTGGTGAGGTGAGGACAGTTTGTGTGTACATGAGGTGAGGACAGTTTGTGTGTACATGAGGTGAGGACAGTTTGTGTGTACATGAGGTGAGGACAGTTTGTGTGTACATGAGGTGAGGACAGTTTGTGTGTACATGAGGTGAGGACAGTTTGTGTGTACATGAGGTGAGGACAGTTTGTGTGTACAATATTTGGTGAGGTGAGGACAGTTTGTGTGTACATGAGGTGAGGACAGTTTGTGTGTACATGAGGTGAGGACAGTTTGTGTGTACATGAGGTGAGGACAGTTTGTGTGTACATGAGGTGAGGACAGTTTGTGTGTACAATATTTGGTGAGGTGAGGACAGTTTGTGTGTACATGAGGTGAGGACAGTTTGTGTGTACATGAGGTGAGGACAGTTTGTGTGTACATGAGGTGAGGACAGTTTGTGTGTACATGAGGTGAGGACAGTTTGTGTGTACAATATTTGGTGAGGTGAGGACAGTTTGTGTGTACATGAGGTGAGGACAGTTTGTGTGTACATGAGGTGAGGACAGTTTGTGTGTACATGAGGTGAGGACAGTTTGTGTGTACAATATTTGGTGAGGTGAGGACAGTTTGTGTGTACATGAGGTGAGGACAGTTTGTGTGTACATGAGGTGAGGACAGTTTGTGTGTACATGAGGTGAGGACAGTTTGTGTGTACAATATTTGGTGAGGTGAGGACAGTTTGTGTGTACATGAGGTGAGGACAGTTTGTGTGTACATGAGGTGAGGACAGTTTGTGTGTACATGAGGTGAGGACAGTTTGTGTGTACATGAGGTGAGGACAGTTTGTGTGTACATGAGGTGAGGACAGTTTGTGTGTACAATATTTGGTGAGGTGAGGACAGTTTGTGTGTACATGAGGTGAGGACAGTTTGTGTGTACATGAGGTGAGGACAGTTTGTGTGTACATGAGGTGAGGACAGTTTGTGTGTACAATATTTGGTGAGGTGAGGACAGTTTGTGTGTACATGAGGTGAGGACAGTTTGTCTGTACATGAGGTGAGGACAGTTTGTGTGTACATGAGGTGAGGACAGTTTGTGTGTACATGAGGTGAGGACAGTTTGTGTGTACATGAGGTGAGGACAGTTTGTGTGTACAATATTTGGTGAGGTGAGGACAGTTTGTGTGTACATGAGGTGAGGACAGTTTGTGTGTACATGAGGTGAGGACAGTTTGTGTGTACATGAGGTGAGGACAGTTTGTGTGTACAATATTTGGTGAGGTGAGGACAGTTTGTGTGTACATGAGGTGAGGACAGTTTGTGTGTACATGAGGTGAGGACAGTTTGTGTGTACATGAGGTGAGGACAGTTTGTGTGTACATGAGGTGAGGACAGTTTGTGTGTACATGAGGTGAGGACAGTTTGTGTGTACATGAGGTGAGGACAGTTTGTGTGTACATGAGGTGAGGACAGTTTGTGTGTACAATATTTGGTGAGGTGAGGACAGTTTGTGTGTACATGAGGTGAGGACAGTTTGTGTGTACATGAGGTGAGGACAGTTTGTGTGTACATGAGGTGAGGACAGTTTGTGTGTACATGAGGTGAGGACAGTTTGTGTGTACATGAGGTGAGGACAGTTTGTGTGTACATGAGGTGAGGACAGTTTGTGTGTACATGAGGTGAGGACAGTTTGTGTGTACAATATTTGGTGAGGTGAGGACAGTTTGTGTGTACATGAGGTGAGGACAGTTTGTGTGTACATGAGGTGAGGACAGTTTGTGTGTACATGAGGTGAGGACAGTTTGTGTGTACATGAGGTGAGGACAGTTTGTGTGTACATGAGGTGAGGACAGTTTGTGTGTACAAAATGTAAACTTGCAGGGGACAGAGCTGCCTTTAGAGGTGATCAAGCGCCTGGTCAAACGACCAGAGGACATGCAGGAGCAGGTCACAAACAGCATTGACAAGTACAAGAACCAAATGCTGCGCATACTCGAGGTCAGACTTGTTCTTTTATTATGACCAGATTACACGAGAGCTCTGCAGCAAATGCTTCTTTTATTATGCTTCTTTAATTGATATACTTAGCTTGTATTTCTTTGTATATCTGCTTGCTGTCACATGGGTGTGGAACAGGGCTTGAGCTTTCTTATGAAATAGGTGGGGCCTTTTGTTAATGGACAATCTTAAGTTTGACAAAAGACCTTCCATTAGTATTGTTGACACAGATATAAATCATGTTTTTGTCAATTTTGTTGACACAGATATAAATCATGTTTTTGTCAATTTTTTAAGCCTGAAACAAATTTAGAAATTTGAAATAATCAATTATGTCAAAGTTGGATAAGTAGACATTGTGAAAAAAATATTTACTTTGAAAATACTTAGCAGTCAACCTATTCGCAAAGTAAATTTGGCAACATTTTTGGTATCAAATAATCGTAGGCCACTTCCTGCTCCACTTGCTTTGATCAAGTTTTTAGAAGTATCAAAATATTACTTCACTGGGCATGTCTGGTATTTCCATATAATTTTTGCTTGCCTATTGACATACTGGACGTCTTTGTTTATGTCTCCACTACCATGAGAAAACGAGGAAAAACTAAATTATTTTGGTGCCTTTTTTGCCTTTTAAAAAAATATTTTTGTTTAGCTACCAAAATTACTTTAAAGGCCAAATGTATCAAATGTTTAGTAAAGTCAGACAAAACCAGTTTTTATAACTATATTTTATTACGGCGTCACTCTACCACTGGTAAAGCTAACGCACGTACCGGATTATTTTTGGATGGTTATAAACTGATGACATACGAAACTAAAAGAGTACCAGACACAAAACTCAACGTGGACTCGTATCTAACGTCTAGGGGGAAAACACGAGGAACTCTTGTAACTAATAACACTTTTAATCCATTTACAACCTTTTAAAATGTGTACAAGTCCAAAATATGACTCTAGTTCTATACAAAATATTATAAAAATACAAATTAAGCAAAACCCAACTTACGAGTTGAAGAAAAAAACACAAGGTAACTATTAACACAGGATATGGCACTTAGGAAATCAACACAGCTTATATGAAACTATCTTAAGGCACAGAATAATACTTAAATCACAAGTAATAGGGGGAAAAGCTATAGAGTACAATATGGCATTCTCTCCCCACATGTCTGGTCAACTGCCTAGAGGGAAGCGCGTTCCAGGTATTTATGCCACCCCAGAATTATGGGAGGTCACCCTCAAAGTCATAAGACTATTGGGTATGAAGTCGCCAAGGTACGAATTAACCAATCGAAATTATTGGTGAATTTCACCACATAGCGTGATGGAAAATTTCTGGTGCTTGCACCACAGACCACTCAAGGTCAATTATATAAATGTAAAACTAAATAATAAAAAAGAAAGACCTAAGTAGGTCACAATTTTAATAACATCAAACATGATTTTTTAAATAATTAATGGACCTTTTGAGACTTTTTAACTTGGGGTCCATTAGACAAACCATCAAGTTGCTCTTGAGTTTTCAAATGAACATATTTTAATGTACATTAGACAAACCATTAACTTGCTCTAGAGTTTTCAAATGAACATATTTTAATGTACATTAGACAAACCATTAACTTGCTCTAGAGTTTTCAAATGAACATATTTTAATGTACATTAGACAAACCATTAACTTGCTCTAGAGTTTTCAAATGAACATATTTTAATGTACATTGGCAACAGGAGTACATGGGGGACCATGACCAACAGTATTTAGTTGAGATGGATGGAAATGAAAGTCAAGCTTCACTTTATAAGGTAAATAAATCTAGAATTGATACAAAATTTAGAAATGACCAAAAATTCCTATACCTATGTTTAGGCTATTCATAAGATTTTTAAAATGTAAAACTGTTTTTTTTTTTTTTATTTCTGAGTATTTTTTTCCACTAGTAGAAAAAATGTAAAATTGTATGCAAACCATGTGATAGATTTTGTAGATGAGTATCATATCCATGAGATAGCTACTGATTAAAGTTTAAACCAAGAGATTTGTTGACTTTTAACCTTGAGAGTTCATGACATTTAACCCTGACCTTATTGACCTTGTGACAGCAACTGATGCAGAAACTATTGACCTTTAACCTCCAACCTGCGGCCCTGGTTAGACAGCTGGTGGAGCCGGAGGAGGAGGAGATCCCAGAAGACATGGAGACAGACGAGCTGCTGCGTCTGCTGGCCGCCAGGCAGATGGTGGCTCCACGCTACCGCTGGCGCCGCAGTCGCTGGGGCAGGTACTGCCCTGTGGCACTCTGGGAAGGAAACTTAATCCTCGGCAAACCAGAGTTTGCTGTCAGGTGAGTTCAAAGCCCAGACCCAGTAGTGGTTGACTGACTGTCAGCACCTGTCTGACACATGGCATCTGGCTGACTGTCAGCACCTGTCTGACACATGGCATCTGACTGACTGTCAGTACCTGTCTGACACATGGCATCTGGCTGACTGTCAGCAACTGTCTAACACATGGCATCTCTTCTCTCAGTTTTCTAGACAAAATGTACGTCTTGTCCAGCGAGGAAGCCATGAACAAATTTATGAAAAACCCAAGGACTTACCTGATAGCACCTCAGCCCAAGGCTCCCTGTAAGATTGCGGTCATTGGCGGTCCTTTCTCTGGCAAAACCACCCTGTGTCACCTGCTGGCTAGCAGGTATGGGGCCAAGGTCAGTCTAACTTACCAAACTCTCACAAGCTTTTTTTTACTGGCGACTGTGTGACAGTTAGATATAGTGTAAAAAATGTGCATGCATGCATGTGTATGTGGCAGTTTAATATAGTGTAAAAAATGTGTGCAGCTCTATACCCATTTGACAATGTGCGCAGATCTTCGACATTGCTGAGCTGACAAAGCCTGTGAAGGAAAATGAAAAACAAAAATTTATTGACAATGCCAGGAAGGAAGCAACGGACAAGGCCATTCAACAGGTCAAGGCCAAGCTAAAAGAGAAAATGGAGGCAGAAGCAGCTGCTAGAGAAGAGGGTTCGCTCAAAATTTTTCTTTTCAACTTTTCACTCATCCCAGTAACTAAAAAGATATCCCCTTACAATGTCCTGATATAACCCATCATATATCTCCTTACAATGTCAGCATATAACCAATCATATATCCCCTTACAATGTCAGCATATAACCCATCATATATCCCCTTACAATGTCCTGATATAACCCATCATATATCTCCTTACAATGTCCTGATATAACCCATCATATATCCCCTTACAATGTCAGCATATAACCCATCATATATCTCCTTACAATGTCCTGATATAACCCATCATATATCCCCTTACAATGTCCTGATATAACCCATCATATATCCCCTTACAATGTCCTGATATAACCCATCATATATCCCCTTACAATGTCAGCATATAACCCATCATATATCCCCTTACAATGTCCTGATATAACCCATCATATATCCCCTTACAATGTCAGCATATAACCCATCATATATCCCCTTACAATGTCCTGATATAACCCATCATATATCCCCTTACAATGTCCTGATATAACCCATCATATATCCCCTTACAATGTCAGCATATAACCCATCATATATCCCCTTACAATGTCAGCATATAACCCATCATATATCCCCTTACAATGTCCTGATATAACCCATCATATATCCCCTTACAATGTCCTGATATAACCCATCATATATCCCCTTACAATGTCCTGATATAACCCATCATATATCCCCTTACAATGTCAGCATATAACCCATCATATATCCCCTTACAATGTCCTGATATAACCCATCATATATCCCCTTACAATGTCAGCATATAACCCATCATATATCCCCTTACAATGTCCTGATATAACCCATCATATATCCCCTTACAATGTCCTGATATAACCCATCATATATCTCCTTACAATGTCAGCATATAACCAATCATATATCCCCTTACAATGTCCTGATATAACCAATCATATATCCCCTTACAATGTCAGCATATAACCCATCATATATCCCCTTACAATGTCCTGATATAACCCATCATATATCCCCTTACAATGTCCTGATATAACCCATCATATATCCCCTTACAATGTCCTGATATAACCAATCATATATCCCCTTACAATGTCCTGATATAACCCATCATATATCCCCTTACAATGTCCTGATATAACCCATCATATATCCCCTTACAATGTCAGCATATAACCCATCATATATCCCCTTACAATGTCAGCATATAACCCATCATATATCCCCTTACAATGCCCTGATATAACCCATCATATATCCCCTTACAATGTCAGCATATAACCCATCATATATCCCCTTACAATGTCCTGATATAACGCATCATATATCCCCTTACAATGTCCTGATATAACCCATCATATATCCCCTTACAATGTCCTGATATAACGCATCATATATCCCCTTACAATGTCCTGATATAACCCATCATATATCTCCTTACAATGTCCTGATATAACCCATCATATATCCCCTTACAATGTCCTGATATAACCAATCATATATCCCCTTACAATGTCCTGATATAACCAATCATATATCCCCTTACAATGTCCTGATATAACCCATCATATATCCCCTTACAATGTCCTGATATAACCAATCATATATCCCCTTACAATGTCCTGATATAACCCATCATATATCCCCTTACAATGTCAGCATATAACCAATCATATATCTCCTTACAATGTCCTGATATAACCCATCATATATCCCCTTACAATGTCCTGATATAACCCATCATATATCCCCTTACAATGTCCTGATATAACCCATCATATATCCCCTTACAATGTCCTGATATAACCCATCATATATCCCCTTACAATGTCCTGATATAACCCATCATATATCCCCTTACAATGTCAGCATATAACCAATCATATATCTCCTTACAATGTCCTGATATAACCCATCATATATCCCCTTACAATGTCAGCATATAACCCATCATATATCCCCTTACAATGTCCTGATATAACCCATCATATATCCCCTTACAATGTCCTGATATAACCCATCATATATCCCCTTACAATGTCAGCATATAACCAATCATATATCCCCTTACAATGTCCTGATATAACCCATCATATATCCCCTTACAATGTCCTGATATAACCAATCATATATCCCCTTACAATGCCCTGATATAACCCATCATATATCCCCTTACAATGTCCTGATATAACCCATCATATATCCCCTTACAATGTCCTGATATAACCCATCATATATCCCCTTACAATGTCCTGATATAACCAATCATATATCCCCTTACAATGCCCTGATATAACCCATCATATATCCCCTTACAATGTCAGCATATAACCCATCATATATCCCCTTACAATGTCCTGATATAACCCATCATATATCCCCTTACAATGTCAGCATATAACCAATCATATATCCCCTTACAATGTCCTGATATAACCCATCATATATCCCCTTACAATGTCCTGATATAACCAATCATATATCCCCTTACAATGCCCTGATATAACCCATCATATATCCCCTTACAATGTCCTGATATAACCCATCATATATCCCCTTACAATGTCAGCATATAACCCATCATATATCCCCTTACAATGTCCTGATATAACGCATCATATATCCCCTTACAATGTCCTGATATAACCCATCATATATCCCCTTACAATGTCCTGATATAACCAATCATATATCCCCTTACAATGCCCTGATATAACCCATCATATATCCCCTTACAATGTCAGCATATAACCCATCATATATCCCCTTACAATGTCCTGATATAACCCATCATATATCCCCTTACAATGTCAGCATATAACCAATCATATATCCCCTTACAATGTCCTGATATAACCCATCATATATCCCCTTACAATGTCCTGATATAACCAATCATATATCCCCTTACAATGCCCTGATATAACCCATCATATATCCCCTTACAATGTCCTGATATAACCCATCATATATCCCCTTACAATGTCAGCATATAACCCATCATATATCCCCTTACAATGTCCTGATATAACGCATCATATATCCCCTTACAATGTCCTGATATAACCCATCATATATCCCCTTACAATGTCCTGATATAACCAATCATATATCCCCTTACAATGTCCTGATATAACCCATCATATATCCCCTTACAATGTCAGCATATAACCCATCATATATCTCCTTACAATGTCCTGATATAACCCATCATATATCCCCTTACAATGTCCTGATATAACCCATCATATATCCCCTTACAATGTCCTGATATAACCCATCATATATCCCCTTACAATGTCAGCATATAACCCATCATATATCCCCTTACAATGTCCTGATATAACCCATCATATATCCCCTTACAATGTCCTGATATAACCCATCATATATCCCCTTACAATGTCCTGATATAACCCATCATATATCCCCTTACAATGTCAGCATATAACCAATCATATATCCCCTTACAATGTCCTGATATAACCCATCATATATCCCCTTACAATGTCAGCATATAACCAATCATATATCTCCTTACAATGTCCTGATATAACCCATCATATATCCCCTTACAATGCCCTGATATAACCCATCATATATCCCCTTACAATGTCAGCATATAACCAATCATATATCTCCTTACAATGTCCTGATATAACCCATCATATATCCCCTTACAATGTCCTGATATAACCCATCATATATCCCCTTACAATGTCCTGATATAACCCATCATATATCCCCTTACAATGTCAGCATATAACCAATCATATATCCCCTTACAATGTCCTGATATAACCCATCATATATCCCCTTACAATGTCAGCATATAACCAATCATATATCTCCTTACAATGTCCTGATATAACCCATCATATATCTCCTTACAATGTCCTGATATAACCCATCATATATCCCCTTACAATGTCCTGATATAACCCATCATATATCTCCTTACAATGTCCTGATATAACCCATCATATATCCCCTGACAATGTCAGCATATAACCATCATATATCCCCTTACAATGTCCTGATATAACCCATCATATATCCCCTGACAATGTCAGCATATAACCATCATATATCCCCTTACAATGTCCTGATATAACCCATCATATATCCCCTTACAATGTCAGCATATAACCAATCATATATCCCCTTACAATGCCCTGATATAACCCATCATATATCCCCTTACAATGTCAGCATATAACCCATCATATATCTCCTTACAATGTCCTGATATAACCCATCATATATCCCCTTACAATGTCCTGATATAACCAATCATATATCCCCTTACAATGCCCTGATATAACCCATCATATATCCCCTTACAATGTCAGCATATAACCCATCATATATCTCCTTACAATGTCCTGATATAACCCATCATATATCTCCTTACAATGTCCTGATATAACCCATCATATATCCCCTTACAATGTCCTGATATAACCCATCATATATCTCCTTACAATGTCAGCATATAACCAATCATATATCTCCTTACAATGTCAGCATATAACCCATCATATATCCCCTTACAATGTCCTGATATAACCAATCATATATCCCCTTACAATGTCCTGATATAACCCATCATATATCCCCTTACAATGTCCTGATATAACCCATCATATATCTCCTTACAATGTCAGCATATAACCCATCATATATCTCCTTACAATGTCCTGATATAACCAATCATATATCCCCTTACAATGTCCTGATATAACCCATCATATATCTCCTTACAATGTCCTGATATAACTCATCATATATCCCCTTACAATGTCCTGATATAACCCATCATATATCCCCTTACAATGTCAGCATATAACCCATCATATATCCCCTTACAATGTCCTGATATAACCCATCATATATCCCCTTACAATGTCCTGATATAACCCATCATATATCCCCTTACAATGTCAGCATATAACCCATCATATATCCCCTTACAATGTCCTGATATAACCCATCATATATCCCCTTACAATGTCAGCATATAACCAATCATATATCCCCTTACAATGTCCTGATATAACCCATCATATATCCCCTTACAATGTCCTGATATAACCCATCATATATCCCCTTACAATGTCCTGATATAACCCATCATATATCCCCTTACAATGTCAGCATATAACCCATCATATATCCCCTTACAATGTCCTGATATAACCCATCATATATCCCCTTACAATGTCAGCATATAACCAATCATATATCCCCTTACAATGTCAGCATATAACCCATCATATATCCCCTTACAATGTCAGCATATAACCAATCATATATCCCCTTACAATGTCCTGATATAACCAATCATATATCCCCTTACAATGTCCTGATATAACCCATCATATATCCCCTTACAATGTCAGCATATAACCCATCATATATCCCCTTACAATGTCAGCATATAACCCATCATATATCCCCTTACAATGTCCTGATATAACCAATCATATATCCCCTTACAATGTCCTGATATAACCCATCATATATCCCCTTACAATGTCAGCATATAACCCATCATATATCTCCTTACAATGTCCTGATATAACCCATCATATATTCCCTTACAATGTCCTGATATAACCCATCATATATCCCCTTACAATGTCCTGATATAACCAATCATATATCCCCTTACAATGTCCTGATATAACCAATTATATATCCCCTTACAATGTCCTGATATAACCAATCATATATCCCCTTAGAATGTCCTGATATAACCAATCATATATCCCCTTAGAATGTCCTGATATAACCCATCATATATCCCCTTACAATGTCCTGATATAACCCATCATATATCCCCTTACAATGTCCTGATATAACCCATCACATATCCCCTTACAATATTCTGATATTTTTGTCTATTTTAGAACGTCAAGCCAGGCTGGCTATAGATAGAGCAAGAAAAGATTTTGGTAAGTCTCCAGGTCATGGAGGGAATGTTAGTTACATTGGCAGGATGGTAAACATTAGCAGGATGGTAAACATTAGCAGGATGGTAAACATTAGCAGGATGGTAATCATTAGCAGGATGGTAAACTTTAGCAGGATGGTAATCATTGGCAGGATGGTAAACATTAACAGGATGGTAAACATTAACAGGATGGTAAACATTAGCAGGATGGTAAACACAGCAGCAATGCTAACCCGTTGTTTACTTTTGGTAGGTATTTAGTCCCTATATTTTGTTGTTCCCAGAGAAGCGCCGTGCTAAGGAAATTGAAGAAGAAGCACAGCAGGGTAAACTGTCTTGGGAGTTCTTGACTTTCATTTTTTTTTCAGTTTGTTCAAAATATTTTTTTTCAGTTTGTTCAAAATATTTTTTTTTCAGTTTGTTCAAAATAATTTGTTTTGTTAGTGAAGCAAAGACTGCACTGTTTTCATAAAGTTTATGTGCGTGTAGTACATTCATGTCATTTAGTCACCACTACACTCATGTCAATTAGTCACCACTACACTCATGTCATTTAGTCACCACTACACTCATGTCATTTAGTCACCACTACACTCATGTCATTTAGTCACCACTACACTCATGTCAATTTGGTCACCACTACACTCATGTCAATTTGGTCACCACTACACTCATGTCATTTAGTCACCACTACACTCATGTCATTTAGTCACCACTACACTCATGTCATTTAGTCACCACTACACTCATGTCATTTAGTCACCACTACACTCATGTCATTTAGTCACCACTACACTCATGTCATTTAGTCACCACTACACTCATGTCATTTAGTCACCACTACACTCATGTCATTTAGTCACTACTACACTCATGTCAATTTGGTCACCACTACACTCATGTCATTTAGTCACCACTACACTCATGTCATTTAGTCACCACTACACTCATGTCAATTAGTCACCACTACACTCATGTCATTTAGTCACCACTACACTCATGTCAATTTGGTCACCACTACACTCATGTCATTTAGTCACCACTACACTCATGTCAATTAGTCACCACTACACTCATGTCATTTAGTCACCACTACACTCATGTCAATTTGGTCACCACTACACTCATGTCATTTAGTCACCACTACACTCATGTCAATTTGGTCACCACTACACTCATGTCATTTAGTCACCACTACACTCATGTCAATTTGGTCACCACTACACTCATGTCAATTTAGTCACCACTACACTCATGTCAATTTGGTCACCACTACACTCATGTCATTTAGTCACCACTACACTCATGTCATTTAGTCACCACTACACTCATGTCATTTAGTCACCACTACACTCATGTCATTTAGTCACCACTACACTCATGTCATTTAGTCACCACTACACTCATGTCATTTAGTCACCACTACACTCATGTCATTTAGTCACCACTACACTCATGTCAATTTGGTCACCACTACACTCATGTCAATTTAGTCACCACTACACTCATGTCAATTTGGTCACCACTACACTCATGTCATTTAGTCACCACTACACTCATGTCAATTTGCTCACCACTACACTCATGTAAATTTAGTCACCACTACACTCATGTCAATTTGGTCACCACTACACTCATGTCATTTAGTCACCACTACACTCATGTCAATTTGGTCACCACTACACTCATGTCATTTAGTCACCACTACACTCATGTCATTTAGTCACCACTACACTCATGTCAATTAGTCACCACTACACTCATGTCATTTAGTCACCACTACACTCATGTCATATAGTCACCACTACACTCATGTCATTTAGTCACCACTACACTCATGTCAATTTGGTCACCACTACACTCATATCATTTAGTCACCACTACACTCATGTCATTTAGTCACCACTACACTCATGTCAGTTAGTCACCACTACACTCATGTCAATTTGGTCACCACTACACTCATGTCATTTAGTCACCACTACACTCATGTCATTTAGTCACCACTACACTCATGTCATTTAGTCACTACTACACTCATGTCAATTTGGTCACCACTACACTCATGTCATTTAGTCACCACTACACTCATGTCATTTAGTCACCACTACACTCATGTCATTTTGTCACCACTACACTCATGTCAATTTGGTCACCACTACACTCATGTCATTTAGTCACCACTACACTCATGTCAATTTGGTCACCACTACACTCATGTCATTTAGTCACCACTACACTCATGTCAATTAGTCACCACTACACTCATGTCATTTAGTCACCACTACACTCATGTCATTTAGTCACCACTACACTCATGTCATTTTGTCACCACTACACTCATGTCAATTTGGTCACCACTACACTCATGTCATTTAGTCACCACTACACTCATGTCAATTTGGTCACCACTACACTCATGTCATTTAGTCACCACTACACTCATGTCAATGAGTCACCACTACACTCATGTCATTTAGTCACCACTACACTCATGTCAATTAGTCACCACTACACTCATGTCATTTAGTCACCACTACACTCATGTCATTTAGTCACCACTACACTCATGTCATTTAGTCACCACTACACTCATGTCATTTAGTCACCACTACACTCATGTCAATTTGGTCACCACTGTTTTATAAAATTTAGTTGCCACTACTCTCAATCTATTTGGGTCTAGCCAGCGAATTTATTTTTCTCACTTTCTGGTCTTCTCTTCTAAAAATGAAACAAATGCCAAAACCTAAATGGTCATGCGATAAGATGACTGGCAACAAACCAATGTATACATCCGTTCTAATCTAAAAATAGCATGTAGTCTAGAAAGCTTCAAGTAGTGAGCATGTTTTTCTCTGGGTTGAAGATTCTGAAGAAGATGATGAAGATAAAGCAGAAGAAGAGAAACAAGCCACACAAGTCAATGAAGAAAAGGGCGTGGAAGATCCATCCAATCAGATCACACCCATTCTGTCCAGTGAATCGATGACAGAGGACCAGCCTGAACCACCAATAACAGAGCCAGATGTAGGTCAAGGCCAATCCGTTGGATCATGCCCATTGCATTAGATCATGCCCATTGCATTAGATTATGCCCATTTCATTAGATCATGCCCATTGCATTTGATCATGCCCAGTGCATTAGATCATGCCCATTGCATTAGATCATGCCCAGTGCATTAGATCATGCCCAGTGCATTAGATCATGCCCATTTTATTAGATCATGCCCATTGCATTAGATCATGCCCATTTCATTAGATCATGCCCATTGCATTAGATCATGCCCATTTCATTAGATCATGCCCATTGCATTAGATCATGCCCATTGCATTAGATCATGCCCATTGCATTAGATCATGCCCATTTCATTAGATCATGCCCATTGCATTAGATCATGCCAATTGCATTAGATCATGCCTATTGCATTAGATCATGCCCATTGCATTAGATCATGCCCATTGCATTAGATCATGCCTATTTTATTAGATCATGCCCATTGCATTAGATTATGCCCATTGCATTAGATCATGCCCATTGCATTAGATCATGCCCATTGCATTAGATTATGCCCATTGCATTAGATCATGCCCATTGCATTAGATCATGCCCATTGCATTAGATCATGCCCATTGCATTAGATCATGCCCATTGCATTAGATCATGCCCATTGCATTAGATCATGCCCAGTGCATTAGATCATGCCCATTGCATTAGATCATGCCCATTGCATTAGATCATGCCCATTGCATTAGATCATGCCCATTGCATTAGATCATGCCCATTGCATTAGATCATGCCCATTTCATTAGATCATGCCCAGTGCATTAGATCATGCCCATTGCATTAGATCATGCCCATTGCATTAGATCATGCCCATTGCATTAGATCATGCCTATTTTATTAGATCATGCCTATTGCATTAGATCATGCCCATTTCATTAGATCATGCCCATTGCATTAGATCATGCCCATTTCATTAGATCATGCCCATTGCATTAGATCATGCCCATTTCAATGTTCACTGTAAACTGTTTATGTGCCATTTAGGCAGCTGATTCCGATTTCAGCCTGCTTTTCTTTTTGGATTTGCTTCTATAGCCTTTGTCCAACCAAGAACAAACTACAAGGCAGCAGTTGTTTGATTTTAGAGTTGTCTCTCCTAGAAGAGTGGCTGTCCCCAGCTAATGAGCCTCATCTGTTTAGCAACCATGCCAACCCCTAGACTTGACTCAAATACCAAGGAAACAACACCAACCCCAGGAAGCAGCACCAACCTCAGGAAACTCAGCACCAACCCCAGGAAACTTAGCACCAACCCCAGGAAACTTAGCACCAACCCCAGGAAACTTAGCACCAACCCCAGGAAACTTAGCACCAACCCCAGGAAACTTAGCACCAACCCCAGGAAACTTAGCACCAACCCCAGGAAACTTAGCACCAACCCCAGGAAACTTAGCACCAACCCCAGGAAACTTAGCACCAACCCCAGGAAACTTAGCACCAACCCCAGGAAACTTAGCACCAACCCCAGGAAACTTAGCACCAACCCCAGGAAACTTAGCACCAACCCCAGGAAACTTAGCACCAACCCCAGGAAACTTAGCACCAACCCCAGGAAACTTAGCACCAACCCCAGGAAACTTAGCACCAACCCCAGGAAACTTAGCACCAACCCCAGGAAACTTAGCACCAACCCCAGAAAACTTAGCACCAACCCCAGGAAACTTAGCACCAACCCCAGGAAACTTAGCACCATCCCCAGGAAACTTAGCACCAACCCCAGGAAACTTAGCACCAACCCCAGGAAACTTAGCACCAACCCCAGGAAACTTAGCACCAACCCCAGGAAACTTAGCACCAACCCCAGGAAACTTAGCACCAACCCCAGGAAACTTAGCACCAACCCCAGGAAACTTAGCACCAACCCCAGGAAACTTAGCACCAACCCCAGGAAACTTAGCACCAACCCCAGGAAACTTAGCACCAACCCCAGGAAACTTAGCACCAACCCCAGGAAACTTAGCACCAACCCCAGGAAACTTAGCACCAACCCCAGGAAACTTAGCACCAACCCCAGGAAACTTAGCACCAACCCCAGGAAACTTAGCACCAACCCCAGGAAACTTAGCACCAACCCCAGGAAACTTAGCACCAACCCCAGGAAACTTAGCACCAACCCCAGGAAACTTAGCACCAACCCCAGGAAACTTAGCACCAACCCCAGGAAACTTAGCACCAACCCCAGGAAACTTAGCACCAACCCCAGGAAACTTAGCACCAACCCCAGGAAACTTAGCACCAACCCCAGGAAACTTAGCACCAACCCCAGGAAACTTAGCACCAACCCCAGGAAACTTAGCACCAACCCCAGGAAACTTAGCACCAACCCCAGGAAACTTAGCACCAACCCCAGGAAACTTAGCACCAACCCCAGGAAACTTAGCACCAACCCCAGGAAACTTAGCACCAACCCCAGGAAACTTAGCACCAACCCCAGGAAACTTAGCACCAACCCCAGGAAACTTAGCACCAACCCCAGGAAACTTAGCACCAACCCCAGGAAACTTAGCACCAACCCCAGGAAACTTAGCACCAACCCCAGGAAACTTAGCACCAACCCCAGGAAACTTAGCACCAACCCCAGGAAACTTAGCACCAACCCCAGGAAACTTAGCACCAACCCCAGGAAACTTAGCACCAACCCCAGGAAACTTAGCACCAACCCCAGGAAACTTAGCACCAACCCCAGGAAACTTAGCACCAACCCCAGGAAACTTAGCACCAACCCCAGGAAACTTAGCACCAACCCCAGAAAACTTAGCACCAACCCCAGGAAACTTAGCACCAACCCCAGGAAACTTAGCACCAACCCCAGGAAACTTAGCACCAACCCCAGGAAACTTAGCACCAACCCCAGGAAACTTAGCACCAACCCCAGGAAACTTAGCACCAACCCCAGGAAACTTAGCACCAACCCCAGGAAACTTAGCACCAACCCCAGGAAACTTAGCACCAACCCCAGGAAACTTAGCACCAACCCCAGGAAACTTAGCACCAACCCCAGGAAACTTAGCACCAACCCCAGGAAACTTAGCACCAACCCCAGGAAACTTAGCACCAACCCCAGGAAACTTAGCACCAACCCCAGGAAACTTAGCACCAACCCCAGGAAACTTAGCACCAACCCCAGAAAACTTAGCACCAACCCCAGGAAACTTAGCACCAACCCCAGGAAACTTAGCACCAACCCCAGGAAACTTAGCACCAACCCCAGGAAACTTAGCACCAACCCCAGGAAACTTAGCACCAACCCCAGGAAACTTAGCACCAACCCCAGGAAACTTAGCACCAACCCCAGGAAACTTAGCACCAACCCCAGGATATACTTTCGTGTGTGGTCGAGTCAAAAAAAGCTCATGATTGCTGAACTGATAAGTCTTGAACCCTCATTCAGATGAGGCTAGACAGCTGGGGACAGCAACTATCAAGTTTATTCTTGGTATTTGTGTCAAGTCTAGTTTATGCTTGGTTTTTTGTGTCAAGTCTAGTTTATGCTTGGTTTTTTGTGTCAAGTCTAGTTTATGCTTGGTATTTGTGTCAAGTCTAGTTTATGCTTGGTATTTGTGTCAAGTCTAGTTTATGCTTGGTGTTTGTGTCAAGTCTAGTTTATGCTTGGTTTTTTGTGTCAAGTCTAGTTTATGCTTGGTATTTGTGTCAAGTCGAGTTTATGCTTGGTATTTGTGTCAAGTCTAGTTTATGCTTGGTATTTGTGTCAAGTCTAGTTTATGCTTGGTGTTTGTGTCAAGTCTAGTTTATGCTTGGTGTTTGTGTCAAGTCTAGTTTATGCTTGGTATTTGTGTCAAGTCGAGTTTATGCTTGGTATTTGTGTCAAGTCTAGTTTATGCTTGGTATTTGTGTCAAGTCTAGTTTATGCTTGGTGTTTGTGTCAAGTCTAGTTTATGCTTGGTGTTTGTGTCAAGTCTAGTTTATGCTTGGTATTTGTGTCAAGTCTAGTTTATGCTTGGTATTTGTGTCAAGTCTAGATTATGCTTGGTATTTGTGTCAAGTCTAGTTTATGCTTGGTATTTGTGTAAAGTCTATTTTATGCTTGGTATTTGTGTCAAGTCTAGTTTATGCTTGGTATTTGTGTCAAGTCTATTTTATGCTTGGTATTTGTGTCAAGTCTAGTTTATGCTTGGTATTTGTGTCAAGTCTAGTTTATTCTTGGTATTTGTGTCAAGTCTAGTTTATGCTTGGTATTTGTGTCAAGTCTAGTTTATGCTTGGTATTTGTGTCAAGTCTAGTTTATGCTTGGTATTTGTGTCAAGTCTATTTTATGCTTGGTATTTGTGTCAAGTCTAGTTTATGCTTGGTATTTGTGACAAGTCTAGTTTATGCTTGGTATTTGTGTCAAGTCTAGTTTATGCTTGGTATTTGTGTCAAGTCTAGTTTATGCTTGGTATTTGTGTCAAGTCTATTTTATGCTTGGTATTTGTGTCAAGTCTAGTTTATGCTTGGTATTTGTGTCAAGTCTAGTTTATGCTTGGTATTTGTGTCAAGTCTAGTTTATTCTTGGTATTTGTGTCAAGTCTAGTTTATTCTTGGTATTTGTGTCAAGTCTAGTTTATGCTTGGTATTTGTGTCAAGTCTAGTTTATGCTTGGTATTTGTGTCAAGTGTAGTTTCTGCTCTAGGTTGATGAGAACCACCCTGATGTGGTCAGCATTGTAAACTTGGCTGTAGCAGATGCCTCAACAGTGACCATAACCTTGACCTCTGAACTTATTGCTGAGGTTTTAGAAAATGCCATCAAAGAATGGGAGCAGGAGATGAGGAGCAGGAATGTGGATGGACCTTTGTGAGTTTAAAGTGTGTGGATGGACCTTTGTGAGTTTAAAGTGTGTGGATGGACCTTTGTGAGTTTAAAGTGTGTGGATGGACCTTTGTGAGTTTAAAGTGTGTGGATGGACCTTTGTGAGTTTAAAGTGGGTGGATGGACCTTTGTGAGTTTAAAGTGTGTGGATGGACCTTTGTGAGTTTAAAGTGTGTGGATGGACCTTTGTGAGTTTAAATTGTGTGGATGGACCTTTGTGAGTTTAAAGTGTGTGGACTGTGGATGGACCTTTGTGAGTTTAAATTGTGTGGATGGACCTTTGTGAGTTTAAAGTGTGTGGACTGTGGATGGACCTTTGTGAGTTTAAATTGTGTGGATGGACCTTTGTGAGTTTAAAGTGTGGATGGACCTTTGTGAGTTTAAAGTGTGGACTGTGGATGGACCTTTGTGAGTTTAAAGTGTGTGGATGGACCATTGTGAGTTTAAAGTGTGTGGATGGACCTTTGTGAGTTTAAAGTGTGTGGATGGACCTTTGTGAGTTTAAAGTGTGGATGGACCTTTGTGAGTTTAAAGTGTGGAATGTGGATGGACCTTTGTGAGTTTAAAGTGTGTGGATGGACCTTTGTGAGTTTAAATTGTGTGGACTGTGGATGGACCTTTGTGAGTTTAAAGTGTGTGGATGGACCTTTGTGAGTTTAAAGTGTGTGGATGGACCTTTGTGAGTTTAAAGTGTGGAATGTGGATGGACCTTTGTGAGTTTAAATTGTGTGGACTGTGGATGGACCTTTGTGAGTTTAAATTGTGTGGACTGTGGATGGACCTTTGTGAGTTTAAAGTGTGTGGATGGACCTTTGTGAGTTTAAAGTGTGTGAATGGACCTTTGTGAGTTTAAAGTGTGGAATGTGGATGGACCTTTGTGAGTTTAAAGTCTGTGGATGGACCTTTGTGAGTTTAAAGTGTTTGGATGGACCTTTGTGAGTTTAAAATGTGTGGATGGACCTTTGTGAGTTTAAATTGCGTGGATGGACCTTTGTGAGTTTAAAATGTGTTTAAAAAGTGACTAATGACTCCCAATACAAGTGACTAATGACTCCCAATACAAGTGACTGATGACTCCCAATACAAGTTACTAATGACTCCCAATACAAGTGACTAATGACTCCCAATACAATTGACTAATGACTCCCAATACAAGTGACTTATGACTCCCAATACAAGTGACTAATGACTCCCATGACTCCCAATACAAGTGACTGATGACTCCCAATACAAGTGACTAATGACTCCCAATACAAGTTACTAATGACTCCCAATAAAAGTGACTGATGACTCCCAATACAAGTGACTAATGACTCCCAATACAAGTTTCTAATGACTCCCAATAAAAGTGACTGATGACTCCCAATACAAGTGACTAATGACTCCCAATACAAGTGACTGATGACTCCCAATACAAGTTACTAATGACTCCCAATACAAGTGACTTATGACTCCCAATACAAGTGACTAATGACTCCTAATACAAGTGACTGATGACTCCTAATACAAGTGACTAATGACTCCCAATACAAGTGACTTATGACTCCCAATACAAGTGACTGATGACTCCCAATACAAGTGACTTATGACTCCCAATACAAGTGACTGATGACTCCCAATACAAGTGACTAATGACTCCCAATACAAGTGACTGATGACTCCCATGACTCCCAATACAAGTGACTGATGACTCCCAATATAAGTGACTGATGACTCCCAATACAAGTGACTGATGACTCCCAATACAAGTGACTAATGACTCCCATGACTCCCAATACAAGTGACTGATGACTCCCAATACAAGTGACTAATGACTCCCAATACAAGTGACTGATGACTCCCATGACTCCCAATACAAGTGACTGATGACTCCCAATACAAGTGACTGATGACTCCCAATACAAGTGACTGATGACTCCCATGACTCCCAATACAAGTGACTGATGACTCCCAATACAAGTGACTGATGACTCCCAATACAAGTGACTGATGACTCCCAATACAAGTGACTGATGACTCCCAATACAAGTGACTGTTGACTTTGTGCAGGTATGGGTCCTGGGTCCTGGATGCCTACCCCACCAATAGAGAGCAGTGGAACGCCATGGTGGAGAGAAACCTGATTCCTGATGAGTTGATTGTTCTTGGCGACGTCTTCACTGGCGACAAGGAAATCACCACCAAGATGATCCAGCTGACCACTGAGAGGTACTGCATAAAGAACAGAGACTGGATTCTCAGCGAGGCCCAGCGGCGCCAGAAGGAGAAGCAGAGGCTGATGGAGCTGGCCCAGAAAGAAAGGGACAGACTTCGGCTGTAAGTTTTTTTTATTTTAAGAAAATGTGCACTATTTCACAATACAAAGAAGAAATGTAACTTTTTATTTTGCCAGGATTGAAGAAGAAATGTCCCGCATAGAACAAGAAAAGGAGGAGCAGAAGCTGAAGCTGCTTAGTAAGTTTTGGGATGTGGTAGCTGTTTATTGTGAGGTTTGATGTTTTGTTGATGTTTGATGTTTTAGAGATGTTTTAATGTGATGTTTGATGTTTTAGAGATGTTTTAATTTGATGTTTGATGTTTTAGAGATGTTTTAATGTGATGTTTGATGTTTTAGAGATGTTTTAATTTGATGTTTGATGTTTTAGAGATGTTTTAATGTGATGTTTGATGTTTTAGAGATGTTTTAATGTGATGTTTGATGTTTTAGAGATGTTTTAATTTGATGTTTGATGTTTTAGAGATGTTTTAATTTGATGTTTGATGTTTTAGAGATGTTTTAATGTGATGTTTGATGTTTTAGAGATGTTTTAATTTGATGTTTGATGTTTTAGAGATGTTTTAATGTGATGTTTGATGTTTTAGAGATGTTTTAATGTGATGTTTGATGTTTTAGAGATGTTTTAATTTGATGTTTGATGTTTTAGAGATGTTTTAATGTGATGTTTGATGTTTTAGAGATGTTTTAATTTGATTGCAGTGGAAAAAGCAGCCATGGAGGAAGCTGCTGCAGAAAAAGAAAAAGAAGAAAAAATGGGTAGGTAGTGTGGGGGTAGTGTGGGGGTAGTGTGGGGGTAGTGTGGGGTGTGTGGGGGTAGTGTGGGGTGTGTGGGGGTAGTGTGTGGTGTGTGGGGGTAGTGTGTGGGGGTAATGTGGGGGTAGTGTGGGGTGTGGGGGGGTAGTGTAGGGTGTGTGGGGGTAGTGTGGGGTGTGTGGGGTGTGTGGGGGTAGTGTAGGGCGTGGGAGGTAGTGTAGGGTGTGTAAGGGTAGTGTGGGATAGTGTGGGGGTAGTGTGTGGGGGTGGGGTGTGTGGGGGTAGTGTGGGGGTAGTGTAGGGTGTGTAAGGGTAGTGTGGGGATAGTGTGCGGTGTGTAATGGTAGTGTGGGGTGTGTGTGGGTAGGTTGTGTGGGGTAGGTAGTGTGGGGTGTGTGGGTAGGTAGTGTGGGGTGTGTGGGTAGGTAGTGTTTGGGTGTGTGTGGGTAGGTTGTGTGGGGTGGGGTGTGTGGGTAGGTAGTGTGGGGTGGGGTGTGTGGGTAGGTAGTGTGGGGTGTGTGGGTAGGTAGTGTTTGGGTGTGTGGGTAGGTTGTGTGGGGTAGGTAGTGTGGGGTGTGTGGGTAGGTAGTGTGGGGTGTGTGGGTAGGTAGTGTGGGGTGGGGTGTGTGGGTAGGTAGTGTGGGGTGGGGTGTGTGGGTAGGTAGTGTGGGGTGTGTGGGTAGGTAGTGTTTGGGTGTGTGGGTAGGTTGTGTGGGGTAGGTAGTGTGGGGTGTGTGGGTAGGTAGTGTGGGGTGTGTGGGTAGGTAGTGTTTGGGTGTGTGTGGGTAGGTAGTGTGGGTGGTGTGTGGGTAGGTAGTGTGGGGTGTGTCGGTAGGTGGTGTGGGGGTGTGTGGTAGTGTGTGGGGGTGGTTGGGTAGTTAGTGTGTGGGGTGTGTGTTGGTAGGTTGTGTGGGTGTGGGTGGTAGTGTGGGTAGTATGTGGGGTGTGTGGGTAGTGTTGGGGTGTGTGGGTAGGTAGAGTGTGGTGTGTGTGGGTAGGTAGTGTGGGGTGTGTAAGTAGGTAGTGTGTGGGATGTGTCGGTAGGTGGTGTGTGGATGGGTAGTGTGGTGTGTGGGCATGTGTGGGTTGGTAGTGGGGTGGGTGAGGGTGTTGGTCTTCGGGTAGATAGTGTTGTGGGTAGGGGTAGTGTGCATAGGTAGTGTTTTTGGGGTGGGGTAGGTAGTGGGGTGGATGGGGATTGTCTTGATAGGGGTGGGTTTAGGCTAGTTGTAAGGTGTTTGGGGGTTGTGAAGATAGGTAGTGTGGTATGTTAGCGTGTATGGGAAGGTAGTTAGGTGGGTGGGGGTTGGAGTGTTTTAAGTAAGTAGTGACTTTATAGATGAGACAAGATGATGTGAGGAATGGCCTAGCTAGTGTATAGACAGTGTTTCTTCCAGACTTTTTTCTCCGGGGGGGCACTTGAAATCTTCGGGGGGGCGGTAAACTTTCTTCGGGGGGGCGGACACTGTTAAAAGTATATATTTTCTATATAAATTATATAAATTTCATTTCGTTCGGGGGGGCGGTAAAAATTTTTCGGGGGGGCTTCGCCCCCCCGAAGAGATGCCTGGAAGAAACTCTGGTGTATAGAGGGGATAATGACAAGATGATGTGAGGAATGCACTAGCTAGTGTATAGAGGGGATAATGACAAGATGATTTGATTGAAACATTGTATTTTGTTGCCCATCTTGCCGTTTTTAGCGTACTTGCATGTGAACCAAGTATTATGGGATACATTAGCTGGTGAAGTTGTCACGCGCAGATCTTTCCATGAGATGGGAATCGAGCAGCCTCGTGGGCCTAGTTTCATTACTCTTCTGGCTGAAGAGTTCCATGATTATTCCGAACTGTACGCCAAGCTTGACACGCTTGGTGAAGTCATACAGAGTGAGACCCCTTGGTTTGCTTCCAATTGCTTTGGAAGTTTTCATTCTTTTGGAATTCAGTCGTTCATTTTTTTTCCTTTTGGAATTTATTTGTTTCAGCATTGATTGCCATTTTAAAACATTTAATGGGAATACAACATTATTGCCGGTGGGGAGGGGATACACTGACCCAATCATGGGGGATACACTGACCCAATCATGGGGGATACACTGACCCAATCATGGGGGACACACTGACCCAATCATAGAGACACACTGTGTGGGGGCATTCTAAAACTGTGTGGGGTGGGGGCACACTAAAACTGTGGGGTGGGGGCACACTAAAACTGTGTGGGGTGGGGGCACACTAAAACTGTGTGGGGTGGAGCAGACTAAAACTGTGTGGGGTGGGGGCACACTAAAACTGTGTGGGGTGGGGGCACACTAAAACTGTGTGGGGTGGGGGCAGACTAAAACTGTGGGGTGGGGGCACACTAAAACTGTGTGGGGTGGGGGCACACTAAAACTGTGTGGGGTGGGGGCAGACTAAAACTGTGGGGTGGGGGCACACTAAAACTGTGTGGGGTGGAGCAGACTAAAACTGTGGGGGGGGGGGCACGCTAAAACTGTGTGGGGTGGGGGCACACTAAAACTGTGGGGTGGGGGCACACTAAAACTGTGTGGGGTGGGGGCACACTAAAACTGTGTGGGGTGGGGGCAGACTAAAACTGTGGGGTGGGGGCACACTAAAACTGTGTGGGGTGGGGGCACACTAAAACTGTGTGGGGTGGGGGCACACTAAAACTGTGTGGGGTGGAGCAGACTAAAACTGTGGGGTGGGGGCACACTAAAACTGTGTGGGGTGGAGCAGACTAAAACTGTGGGGTGGGGGCACACTAAAACTGTGGGGTGGGGGCACACTAAAACTGTGGGGTCGGGGCACACTAAAACTGTGGGGTGGGGGCACACTAAAACTGTGGGGGGTGGGGGCAGACTAAAACTGTGGGGTGGGGGCACACTAAAACTGTGGGGTGGGGGCACACTAAAACTGTGGGGTGGGGGCACACTAAAACTGTGTGGGGTGGGGGCACACTAAAACTGTGTGGGGTGGGGGCACACTAAAACTGTGTGGGGTGGGGGCACACTAAAACTGTGTGGGGTGGGGGCACACTAAAACTGTGCGGTGGGGGCACACTAAAACTGTGTGGGGTGGGGGCACACTAAAACTGTGGGGTGGGGGCACACTAAAACTGTGTGGGGTGGAGCAGACTAAAACTGTGGGGTGGGGGCACACTAAAACTGTGGGGTGGGGGCACACTAAAACTGTGGGGTGGGGGCACACTAAAACTGTGTGGGGTGGGGCACACTAAAACTGTGGGGTGGGGGCACACTAAAACTGTGTGGGGTGGAGCAGACTAAAACTGTGGGGTGGGGGCACACTAAAACTGTGTGGGGTGGGGGCACACTAAAACTGTGTGGGGTGGGGCACACTAAAACTGTGGGGTGGGGGCACACTAAAACTGTGTGGGGTGGGGGCACACTAAAACTGTGTGGGGTGGGGGCACACTAAAACTGTGTGGGGTGGGGCACACTAAAACTGTGTGGGGTGGGGGAACACTAAAACTGTGTGGGGTGGGGGCACACTAAAACTGTGTGGGGTGGGGGCACACTAAAACTGTGTGGGGTGGAGCAGACTAAAACTGTGTGGGGTGGAGCAGACTAAAACTGTGGGGTGGGGCACACTAAAACTGTGTGGGGTGGGGCACACTAAAACTGTGTGGGGTGGGGGCACACTAAAACTGTGTGGGGTGGGGGCACACTAAAACTGTGTGGGGTGGGGGCACACTAAAACTGTGTGGGGTGGGGGCACACTAAAACTGTGGGTTGGGGGCACACTAAAACTGTGTGGGGTGGGGGCACACTAAAACTGTGTGGGGTGGGGCACACTAAAACTGTGTGGGGTGGGGCACACTAAAACTGTGTGGGGTGGGGGCACACTAAAACTGTGTGGGGTGGGGCAGACTAAAACTGTGGGGTGGGGCACACTAAAACTGTGGGGTGGGGGCAGACTAAAACTGTGTGGGGTGGGGGCACACTAAAACTGTGTGGGGTGGGGCACACTAAAACTGTGTGGGGTGGAGCAGACTAAAACTGTGGGGTGGGGGCACACTAAAACTGTGGGGTGAGGGCACACTAAAACTGTGTGGGGTGGGGCACACTAAAACTGTGTGGGGTGGAGCAGACTAAAACTGTGTGGGGTGGGGGCACACTATAACTGTGTGGGGTGGGGGCACACTAAAACTGTGTGGGGTGGGGGCACACTAAAACTGTGTGGGGTGGGGGCACACTAAAACTGTGGGGTGGGGGCACACTAAAACTGTGTGGGGTGGGGGCACACTAAAACTGTGTGGGGTGGGGGCACACTAAAACTGTGTGGGGTGGGGCACACTAAAACTGTGTGGGGTGGAGCAGACTAAAACTGTGGGGGGGGGGGGGGGGGCACACTAAAACTGTGGGGTGGGGCACACTAAAACTGTGTGGTGGGGGCACACTAAAACTGTGTGGGGTGGGGGCACACTAAAACTGTGGGGTGGGGCACACTAAAACTGTGTGGTGGGGGCACACTAAAACTGTGTGGGGTGGGGCACACTAAAACTGTGTGGTGGGGGCACACTAAAACTGTGTGGTGGGGGCACACTAAAACTGTGTGGGGTGGGGCACACTAAAACTGTGTGGTGGGGGCACACTAAAACTGTGTGGGGTGGGGGCACACTAAAACTGTGGGGTGGGGCACACTAAAACTGTGTGGTGGGGGCACACTAAAACTGTGTGGGGTGGGGGCACACTAAAACTGTGTGGGGTGGGGGCACACAAACTGTGTGGGGTGGGGGCACACTAAAACTGTGGGGTGGGGCACACTAAAACTGTGGGGTGGGGCACACTAAAACTGTGGGGTGGGGCAGACTAAAACTGTGGGGTGGGGCACACTAAAACTGTGGGGTGGGGCAGACTAAAACTGTGTGGTGGGGCTGACACCAAATGTCTAAGACTGTTGTATTGTCTCCAGATGTGGCCGAGTCAGACAGCAAAGTTCCTGAAGTCGAGGCTGAGATAGCAACAGAAGGTCAGTGGCTCCACAGCTTTGATGTCTTTCGTTAGATGCTGCTTCATGCTGGGTGGGGGATGTGTTGTCACCTTTTGTGTGGGGTGTTTCATTGTGTGGGATTTGTCACCTTTTGTGTGGGGTGTTTCATTGTGTGGGATTTGTCACCTTTTGTGTGGGGTGTTTCATTGTGTGGGATTTGTCACATTTTGTGTGGGGTGTTTCATTGTGTGGGATTTGTCACCTTTTGTGTGGGGTGTTTCATTGTGTGGGATTTGTCACCTTTTGTGTGGGGTGTTTCATTGTGTGGGATTTGTCACCTTTTGTGTGGGGTGTTTCATTGTGTGGGATTTGTCACCTTTTGTGTGGGGTGTTTCATTGTGTGGGATTTGACACCTTTGGTGTGGGGTGTTTTATTGTGTGAGATTTGTCACCTTTTGTGCGGGGTGTTTCATTGTGTGAGATTTGTCACCTTTTGTGCGGGGTGTTTCATTGTGTGAGATTTGTCACCTTTTGTGCGGGGTGTTTCACGATTAGTGCCACACATTTTGACGTTTTATTTGCCTTGGTTGTTTTAGTGACTCCAACAACTGTACCAGAGGAGGATGAGGTGCATGTGGAGCAAACAGAACTAGAGGTGAGACAGAACTAGAGGTGAGACAAAACTAGAGGTGAGACAGGACTAGACGTGAGACAGTACTAGAGGTGAAACAGGACTAGAGGTGAGACAAAACTAGAGGTGAGACATGACTAGAGGTGAGACAGAACTAGAGGTTTGACATGACTAGAGGTGAGACAGGACTAGAGGTGAGACAAAACTAGAGGTGAGACAAAACTAGAGGTGAACTTTCTTTCATCATTGGAAGAAGCATGTGGAATAGGGTTTGTATTTATAGCTTGGTAGATTGAAATGATTGTTGTGCTGACTATGAAATGATTGATGTGCTAACTATGAAATGATTGATGTGCTGACTCTATGAAATGATTGATGTGCTGACTATGAAATGATTGATGTGCTGACTTTGAAATGATTGATGTGCTGACTTTGAAATGATTGATGTGCTGACTATAAAATGATTGATGTGCTGACAATGAAATGATTGATGTGCTGACTATGAAATGATTGATGTGCTGACTATGAAATGATTGATGTGCTGACTCTATGAAATGATTGATGTGCTAACTATGAAATGATTGATGTGCTAACTATGAAATGATTGATGTGCTGACAATGAAATGATTGTTGTGCTGACAATGAAATGATTGATGTGCTGACAATGAAATGATTGATGTGCTAACTATGAAATGATTGATGTGCTGACTCTATGAAATGATTGATGTGCTGACTATGAAATGATTGATGTGCTGACTTTGAAATGATTGATGTGCTGACTTTGAAATGATTGATGTGCTGACTATAAAATGATTGATGTGCTGACAATGAAATGATTGATGTGCTGACTATGAAATGATTGATGTGCTGACTATGAAATGATTGATGTGCTGACTCTATGAAATGATTGATGTGCTAACTATGAAATGATTGATGTGCTGACAATGAAATGATTGTTGTGCTGACTATGAAATGATTGTTGTGCTGACAATGAAATGATTGATGTGCTGACAATGAAATGATTGATGTGCTGACAATGAAATGATTGATGTGCTGATAATGAAATGATTGTTGTGCTGACAATGAAATGATTGTTGTGCTGACTATGAAATGATTGATGTGCTGACTATGAAATGATTGTTGTGCTGACTATGAAATGATTGATGTGCTGACTCTATGAAATGATTGATGTGCTGACTATGAAATGATTGATGTGCTGACAATGAAATGATTGTTGTGCTGACTATGAAATGATTGTTGTGCTGACAATGAAATGATTGTTGTGCTGACTATGAAATGATTGTTGTGCTGACAATGAAATGATTGATGTGCTGACAATGAAATGATTGATGTGCTGACAATGAAATAATTGTTGTGCTGACAATGAAATGATTGTTGTGCTGACTATGAAATGATTGATGTGCTGACTATGAAATGATTGTTGTGCTGACTATGAAATGATTGTTGTGCTGACAATGAAATGATTGATGTGCTGACAATGAAATGATTGATGTGCTGACAATGAAATGATTGATGTGCTGACAATGAAATGATTGTTGTGCTGACAATGAAATGATTGTTGTGCTGACTATGAAATGATTGATGTGCTGACAATGAAATGATTGATGTGCTGACAATGAAATGATTGATGTGCTGACTGATTGATGTGCTGACAATGAAATGATTGATGTGCTGACAATGAAATGATTGATGTGCTGACAATGAAATGATTGATGTGCTGACAATGAAATGATTGTTGTGCTGACTATGAAATGATTGATGTGCTGACTATGAAATGATTGATGTGCTGTTCCAGTACTTAATGCTCCAGCCAGAGGCTATAGCCTTCAGGGACAACCTCGGGGAGTTTGACAAGGATCTGGGTAATTTGATTGGCACGGTGTCCGGCTCCTCACATGTCGAGCCACACAAAATTGACATTGCCGGACACACTCCTGAAAAAACTTTTCAAGCTGTTGTTGACCACATTGAAAGTAAGTTGAGATGGTCTGGCCGTCATTTCTGAAAGCATAAGTTGAAGGAATGTGCGAGCAAAGTGTTGCGAGAAAAAGATGTAAAATTTGTATTTTTTGTGGCCTAGGATTCTTCCACTACACCGTAAAATTTGTATTTTTTGTGGCCTAGGATTCTTCCACTACACCGTAAAATTTGTATTTTTTGTGGCCTAGGATTCTTCCACTACACCGTAAAATTTGTATTTTTTGTGGCCTAGGATTCTTCCACTACACCGTAAAATTTGTATTTTTTGTGGCCTAGGATTCTTCCACTACACCGTAAAATTTGTATTTTTTGTGGCCTAGGATTCTTCCACTACACCGTAAAATTTGTATTTTTTGTGGCCTAGGATTCTTCCACTACACCCGTAAAATTTGTATTTTTTGTGGCCTAGGATTCTTCCACTACACCGTAAAATTTGTATTTTTTGTGGCCTAGGATTCTTCCACTACACCGTAAAATTTTTATTTTTTGTGGCCTAGGATTCTTCCACTACACCGTAAAATTTGTATTTTTTGTGGCCTAGGATTCTTCCACTACACCGGCGATGTAAAATTTGTATTTTTTGTGGCCTAGGATTCTTCCACTACACCGTAAAATTTGTATTTTTTGTGGCCTAGGATTCTTCCACTACACCGTAAAATTTGTATTTTTTGTGGCCTAGGATTCTTCCACTACACCGGCGATGTAAAATTTGTATTTTTTGTGGCCTAGGATTCTTCCACTACACCGTAAAATTTGTATTTTTTGTGGCCTAGGATTCTTCCACTACACCGTAAAATTTGTATTTTTTGTGGCCTAGGATTCTTCCACTACACCATAAAATTTGTATTTTTTGTGGCCTAGGATTCTTCCACTACACCGTAAAATTTGTATTTTTTGTGGCCTAGGATTCTTCCACTACACCGTAAAATTTGTATTTTTTGTGGCCTAGGATTCTTCCACTACACCGTAAAATTTGTATTTTTTGTGGCCTAGGATTCTTCCACTACACCGTAAAATTTGTATTTTTTGTGGCCTAGGATTCTTCCACTACACCGTAAAATTTGTATTTTTTGTGGCCTAGGATTCTTCCACTACACCGTAAAATTTGTATTTTTTGTGGCCTAGGATTCTTCCACTACACCGTAAAATTTGTATTTTTTGTGGCCTAGGATTCTTCCACTACACCGGCGATGTAAAATTTGTATTTTTTGTGGCCTAGGATTCTTCCACTACACCGTAAAATTTGTATTTTTTGTGGCCTAGGATTCTTCCACTACACCGTAAAATTTGTATTTTTTGTGGCCTAGGATTCTTCCACTACACCGTAAAATTTGTATTTTTTGTGGCCTAGGATTCTTCCATTACACCGTAAAATTTGTATTTTTTGTGGCCTAGGATTCTTCCACTACACCGTAAAATTTGTATTTTTTGTGGCCTAGGATTCTTCCACTACACCGTAAAATTTGTATTTTTTGTGGCCTAGGATTCTTCCACTACACCGTAAAATTTGTATTTTTTGTGGCCTAGGATTCTTCCACTACACCGTAAAATTTGTATTTTTTGTGGCCTAGGATTCTTCCACTACACCGGCTGGGAGGTCGGTGCTCAGGATTTAGAGGAGGAAGAGGAAGATCTGGAGGCTGAGGATGCTGAGGAGGAAGGTGGAGAAGAGGTAAACTGGCAGGTCATAGGTCACATGACTGGCGGGTCATAGGTCACATGACTGGCGGGTCATAGGTCACATCACTGGCGGGTCATAGGTCACATCACTGGCGGGTCATAGGTCACACGACTGGCAGGTCATATGTCACATGACTGGCAGGTCATAGGTCACATTACTGGTAGGTCATAGGTCACATGACTGGCAGGTCATAGGTCACATGACTGGCAGGTCATAGGTCACATGACTGGCAGGTCATATGAATGGCAGGTCAGGTCATACGACTGACACTCTAAATGATATGTTTTTAATTAAGCTTTATCAAAGAGTAGGAGGAAAGATGAATAAGATGGGTGTCCCATCCTAAGCTAGCAGGGTTGGGTGTCCCATCCTAAGCCAGCAGGGTTGGGTGTCCCATCCTACAGCAGGGTTGGGTGTCCCATCCTAAGCTAGCAGGGTTGTGTGTCCCATCCTAAGCTAGCAGGGTTGAGTGTCCCATCCTACAGCAGGGTTGGGTGTCCCATCCTTGTCCTAAGCTAGCAGGGTTGGGTGTCCCATCCTAAGCTAGCAGGGTTGGGTGTCCCATCCTACAGCAGGGTTGGGTGTCCCATCCTTGTCCTAAGCTAGCAGGGTTGGGTGTCCCATCCTAAGCTAGCAGGGTTGGGTGTCCCATCCTACAGCAGGGTTGGGTGTCCCATCCTAAGCCTGCAGGGTTGGGTGTCCCATCCTAAGCTAGCAGGGTTGGGTGTCCCATCCTAAGCTAGCAGGGTTGGGTGTCCCATTCTACAGCAGGGTTGGGTGTCCCATCCTACAGCAGGGTTGGGTGTCCCATCCTAAGCTAGCAGGGTTGGGTGTCCCATCCTAAGCTAGCAGGGTTGGGTGTCCCATCCTAAGCCAGCAGGGTTGGGTGTCCCATCCTAAGCTAGCAGGGTTGGGTGTCCCATCCTAAGCTAGCAGGGTTGTGTGTCCCATCCTAAGCTTGCAGGGTTGGGTGTCCCATCCTTGTCCTAAGCTAGCAGGGTTGGGTGTCCCATCCTAAGCTAGCAGGGTTGGGTGTCCCATCCTTGTCCTAAGCTAGCAGGGTTGGGTGTCCCATCCTAAGCTAGCAGGGTTGGGTGTCCCATCCTTGTCCTAAGCTAGCAGGGTTGGGTGTCCCATCCTAAGCTAGCAGGGTTGGGTGTCCCATCCTAAGCCAGCAGGGTTCTGTGTCCCATCCTAAGCTAGCAGGGTTGGGTGTCCCATCCTAAGCTAGCAGGGTTGGGTGTCCCATCCTTGTCCTAAGCTAGCAGGGTTGGGTGTCCCATCCTAAGCTAGCAGGGTTGGGTGTCCCATCCTAAGCTAGCAGGGTTGGGTGTCCCATCCTAAGCTAACAGGGTTGGGTGTCCCATCCTAAGCTAGCAGGGTTGGGTGTCCCATCCTAAGCCACAGGGTTGGGTCAGAACATAGTGTGTAGCTGAGAGTCTTGTCTTGCAGGAGGAGGATGCCAACAGAAGCGTCAGAAGAAAGTTTTTGGGAGATTCAAACTACTTTGATCCTGTACCTCTCAAAGAAACAGATGTCTTGGTGCCAGGAAATCCAGAGATTGCTGCCGTCTACAGAGAAAGGGTTTATTACTTTTATTCCAATGAAACCAAAGAAAAGTTCCTGGAGAACCCGTCTCATTATGTGGCGCAAAATGCTGCCCTCAAGGTACAACTTGTGGAGGCAGGGTTGGGTTGGGTGGTTTATGTACTAGGTCAGTGTTTGTGGGGGGGGGGTCATAGGGTTGGGTTGGGTTGTTTATGTTCTAGGTCAGTGTTTGTGGGGGGGGGGGGGTCATAGGGTTGGGTTGGGTGGTTTATGTTCTAGGTCAGTGTTTGTGGGGGGGGGGGGGGGGTCATAGGGTTGGGTTGGGTGGTTTATGTTCTAGGTCAGTGTTTGTGGGGGGGGGGGTCATAGGGTTGGGTTGGGTGTTCTAGGTCAGTGTTTGTGGGGGGGTCATAGGGTTGGGTTGGGTGGTTTATGTTCTAGGTTAGTGTTTGTGTGTGTGGGGGGTCATAGTGTTGGGTTGGGTTGTTTATGTTCTAGGTCAGTGTTTGTGGGGGGGGGGGGGGGGGGTCATAGGGTTGGGTTGGGTGGTTTATGTTCTAGGTCAGTGTTTGTGGGGGGGTCATAGGGTTGGGTTGGGTGGTTTATGTTCTAAGTCAGTGTTTGTGTGTGTGGGGGGTCATAGTGTTGGGTTGGGTTGTTTATGTTCTAGGTCAGTGTTTGTGGGGGGGGGGGGGGTCATAGGGTTGGGTTGGGTGGTTTATGTTCTAGGTCAGTGTTTGTGGGGGGGGGGGGGTCATAGGGTTGGGTTGGGTGGTTTATGTTCTAGGTCAGTGTTTGTGGGGGGGGGTCATAGGGTTGGGTTGGGTTGGGTGTTCTAGGTCAGTGTTTGTGGGGGGGTCATAGGGTTGGGTGGTTTATGTTCTAGGTCAGTGTTTGTGTTGGGGGGGGGGTCATAGGGTTGGGTTGGGTGTTCTAGGTCAGTGTTTGTGGGGGGGTCATAGGGTTGGGTTGGGTGGTTTATGTTCTAAGTCAGTGTTTGTGTGTGTGGGGGGTCATAGGGTTGGGTTGGGTGGTTTATGTTCTAAGTCAGTGTTTGTGTGTGTGGGGGGTCATAGGGTTGGGTTGGGTGGTCTAGGTTAGTGTTTGTGGGGGGGGTCATAGGGTTGGGTTGGGTGGTTAATGTTCTAGGTCAGTGTTTGTGGGGGGGGGGGGGTCATAGGGTTGGGTTGGGTGGTTTATGTTCTAGGTCAGTGTTTGTGTTGGGGGGGGGTCATAGGGTTGGGTTGGGTGGTTTATGTTCTAGGTCAGTGTTTGTGGGGGGGGGGGGGTCATAGGGTTGGGTTGGGTGGTTTATGTTCTAGGTCAGTGTTTGTGGGGGGGGGGTCATAGGGTTGGGTTGGGTGGTTTATGTTCTAGGTCAGTGTTTGTGGGGGGGGGTCATAGGGTTGGGTTGGGTGGTTTATGTTCTAGGTCAGTGTTTGTGGGGGGGTCATAGGGTTGGGTTGGGTGGTTTATGTTCTAGGTCAGTGTTTGTGGGGGGGGGGGGTCATAGGGTTGGGTTGGGTGGTTTATGTTCTAGGTCAGTGTTTGTGTGTGTGTGTGTGTGTGAAGGGTCATAGGGTTGGGTTGGGTGGTTTGTTCTAGGTTAGTCTCTGTTGGGAGGGGGTTCATAGGGTTGGGTGGTTAATAATAAAGATTAAAGCCTGTAGGTTGGACAAGCAGGCTGAGGTCAATAGCCTCACTGAGCTTAACTATTTGATGGGGTCAATAGCCTCATTGAGCTTAACTATTTGACACATAACACTTGACTTTGTTGGAGGGAATCCCTTTGAACAGTTGAGAACGAAGAAGAAGGATAGAAAGAAATGTGAGTGCATTCCTTAGAAACATATGTTGTCCCCAGGTTCCACCTGTACGTCTGTTGATCCTGGGACCTAAAGGTTCCGGTAAGACTTTACATGGGCGCCACCTGGCGGAGAAGCTGGGCGTCTTCCACATCTCCTTCAGGGAGAGACTGCAGGAGCTGATCATTGCCAAGACCAAGAGGAAAATTGGTCCTGAGTATCAGATGGATGAGGAGCTGACGTCTGATGAAGAGGAGGAGTAAGTAACTTCATCTCAAGGTCATTCTGCTTGTTACAGTAACTTCATCCCAAGGTCACTCTTCTTGTTGTAATGGCTTCATCTCAAGGTCACTCTACTTGTTGTAATGGCTTCATCTCAAGGTCACTCTACTTACTGTAGTAACTTCATCTCAAGGCCATTCTACTTGTTGTAATGGCTTCATCTCAAGGTCACTCTTCTTGTTGTAATGGATTCATCTCAAGGTCACTCTACTTGTTGTAATGGCTTCATCTCAAGGTCACTCTACTTGTTGTAATGGCTTCATCTCAAGGTCACTCTTCTTGTTGTAATGGCTTCATCTCAAGGTCACTCTTCTTGTTGTAATGGCTTCATCTCAAGGTCACTCTACTTGTTGTAGTGGCTTCATCTCAAGGTCACTCTTCTTGTTGTAATGGCTTCATCTCTAGGTCACTCTACTTGTTGTAATGGCTTCATCTCAAGGTCACTCTACTTGTTGTAATGGCTTCATCTCAAGGTCACTCTTCTTGTTGTAATGGCTTCATCTCTAGGTCACTCTACTTGTTGTAATGGCTTCATCTCAAGGTCACTCTACTTGTTGTAATGGCTTCATCTCAAGGTCACTCTACTTGTTGTAATGGCTTCATCTCAAGGTCACTCTTCTTGTTGTAATGGCTTCATCTCAAGGTCACTCTACTTGTTGTAATGGCTTCATCTCTAGGTCACTCTACTTGTTGTAATGGCTTCATCTCAAGGTCACTCTTCTTGTTGTAATGGCTTCATCCCAAGGTCACTCTACTTGTTGTAATGGCTTCATCTCAAGGTCACTCTACTTGTTGTAATGGCTTCATCTCAAGGTCACTCTACTTGTTGTAATGGCTTCATCTCAAGGTCACTCTACTTGTTGTAATGGCTTCATCTCAAGGTCACTCTACTTGTTGTAATGGCTTCATCTCAAGGTCACTCTACCTGTTGTAATGGCTTCATCTCAAGGTCACTCTACTTGTTGTAATGGCTTCATCTCAAGGTCACTCTACTTGTTGTAATGGCTTCATCTCAAGGTCACTCTACTTGTTGTAATGGCTTCATCTCAAGGTCACTCTTCTTGTTGTAATGGCTTCATCTCAAGGTCACTCTACTTGTTGTAATGGCTTCATCTCAAGGTCACTCTACTTGTTGTAATGGCTTCATCTCAAGGTCACTCTACTTGTTGTAATGGCTTCATCTCAAGGTCACTCTACTTGTTGTAGTGGCTTCATCTCAAGGTCACTCTACTTGTTGTAATGGCTTCATCTCAAGGTCACTCTACTTGTTGTAATGGCTTCATCTCAAGGTCACTCTACTTGTTGTAATGGCTTCATCTCAAGGTCACTCTACTTGTTGTAATGGCTTCATCTCAAGGTCACTCTACTTGTTGTAGTGGCTTCGTCTCAAGGTCACTCTACTTGTTGTAATGGCTTCATCTCAAGGTCACTCTACTTGTTGTAGTGGCTTCATCTCAAGGTCACTCTACTTGTTGTAATGGCTTCATCTCAAGGTCACTCTACTTGTTGTAGTGGCTTCATCTCAAGGTCACTCTACTTGTTGTAATGGCTTCATCTCAAGGTCACTCTACTTGTTGTAATGGCTTCATCTCAAGGTCACTCTACTTGTTGTAATGGCTTCATCTCAAGGTCACTCTACTTGTTGTAATGGCTTCATCTCAAGGTCACTCTTCTTGTTGTAATGGCTTCATCTCAAGGTCACTCTACTTGTTGTAGTGGCTTCGTCTCAAGGTCACTCTACTTGTTGTAATGGCTTCATCTCAAGGTCACTCTACTTGTTGTAATGGCTTCATCCCAAGGTCACTCTACTTGTTGTAGTGGCTTCATCTCAAGGTCACTCTACTTGTTGTAGTGGCTTCATCTCAAGGTCACTCTACTTGTTGTAATGGCTTCATCTCAAGGTCACTCTACTTGTTGTAATGGCTTCATCTCAAGGTCACTCTACTTGTTGTAGTGGCTTAATCTCAAGGTCACTCTACTTGTTGTAATGGCTTCATCTCAAGGTCACTCTACTTGTTGTAATGGCTTCATCTCAAGGTCACTCTACTTGTTGTAATGGCTTCATCTCAAGGTCACTCTACTTGTTGTAATGGCTTCATCTCAAGGTCAATTTGTTTTAGTTGTATCACCACACACACACCACCACACACACACCACCACACACACACCACCACACTCATTCCACACTCACACCACCACACACACACCACCACACACACACCACCACACACACACCACCACACTCATTCCACACTCACACCACCACACGCACACCACCACACACACACCACCACACTCATTCCACACTCACACCACCACACACACGCACACCACCACACTCACATCACCACACTCATTCCACACTCACACCACCACACGCACACCACCACACGCACATCACCACACTCATTCCACACTCACACCACCACACGCACACCACCACACGCACATCACCACACTCATTCCACACTCACACCACCACACACACACCACCACACGCACACCACCACACGCACACCACCACACGCACACCACCACACGCACACCACCACACTCATTCCACACTCACACCACCACACACACACCACCACACGCACACCACCACACGCACACCACCACACGCACACCACCACACGCACATCACCACACTCATTCCACACTCACACCACCACCACACACACTACCACACACACACCACCACACTCATTCCACACTCACACCACCACACACACGCACACCACCACACTCACATCACCACACTCATTCTACACTCACACCACCACACACACCACCACACACACCACCACACACACCACCACACACACATCACCACACTCATTCCACACTCACACCACCACACGCACACCACCACACGCACATCACCACACTCATTCCACACTCACACCACCACACACACACCACCACACGCACACCACCACACGCACACCACCACACGCACACCACCACACTCATTCCACACTCACACCACCACACACACACCACCACACGCACACCACCACACGCACACCACCACACGCACACCACCACATGCACACCACCACACACACACCACCACATGCACATCACCACACTCATTCCACACTCACACCACCACACACACACCACCACACGCACACCACCACACGCACACCACCACACGCACACCACCACACTCATTCCACACTCACACCACCACACACACACCACCACACGCACACCACCACACGCACACCACCACACGCACACCACCACATGCACACCACCACATGCACACCACCTCACACACACACCACACGCACACCACCACACACACGCACACCACCACACACACACCACCACATGCACACCACCTCACACACACCACCACACACACACCACACGCACACCACCACCACACGCACACCACCACACGCACACCACCACATGCACACCACCTCACACACACCACCACACACACACCACCACATGCACACCACCTCACACACACCACCACACACACACCACCACATGCACACCACCACACACACACCACCACACGCACATGCACACCACCACACACGCACACCACCACACACACACCACCACACACCACCACACACACACCACCACACTCATTCCACACTCACACCACCACACACACACACCACCACACACACACCACCACACACACCACACACACACCACCACACGCACACCACCACACGCACACCACCACATGCACACCACCACACACACCACCACACGCACACCACCACTTACACACCACCACACGCACACCACCACACACACGCACACCACCACACACACACCACCACACACCACCACACACACACCACCACACTCATTCCACACTCACACCACCACACACACACACCACCACACACACACCACCACACACACCACACACACACCACCACACGCACACCACCACACGCACACCACCACATGCACACCACCACACACACCACCACACGCACACCACCACTTACACACCACCACACGCACACCACCAAATGCACACCACCACACACACGCACACCACCACACACACGCACACCACCACACACACACCACCAAATGCACACCACCACACACACGCACACCACCACACACACGCACACCACACACACACACACCACACACACACCACACACACACACACACCACACACACGCACACCACCACACGCACACCACCACACACACCACCACACACACCACCACACACACACCACCACACACACACCACCACACACACACCACCACACACGCACCACCACACACACACCACCACACACACACCAAACACACTCACACCACCACACTCACAGCACCACCCACCCTTTCTCCCCCACATTTCACACAAACTCAACCCCACATTTGATTTGATCACAGTTTTGATGAGTCTGGTGGGAGCAGCGCACACCCAACAGGGTCCAGGTACATGGTCTCATGTTTGTTGGTCTCATGTTTGTTGGTCTCATGTTTGTTGGTCTCATGTTTGTTGGTCTCATGTTTGTTGGTCTCATGTTTGTTGGTCTCATGTTTGTTGGTCTCATGTTTGTTGGTCTCATGTTTGTTGGTCTCATGTTTGTTGGTCTCATGTTTGTTGGTCTCATGTTTGTTGGTCTCATGTTTGTTGGTCTCATGTTTGTTGGTCTCATGTTTGTTGGTCTCATGTTTGTTGGTCTCATGTTTGTTGGTCTCATGTTTGTTGGTCTCATGTTTGTTGGTCTCATGTTTGTTGGTCTCATGTTTGTTGGTCTCATGTTTGTTGGTCTCATGTTTGTTGGTCTCATGTTTGTTGGTCTCATGTTTGTTGGTCTCATGTTTGGTGGTCTCATGTTTTTTCATTCACTCTTGGATGAAAACTAAATTAAGAATTGTTTAATAGCTATCATAAGGAATGATGCAAATCTAGGGTTGTAGAATGATGAAGAATTGTGTTGTGGAAATCATAAGGAATGATTCGACGTACTTGGAAGTGCCCAGACATGCGAGGTTTGTGTGAACTGAGCTTTGGAGTGAGCTCAACATTTGACACCAGCCAAAGTTTGAGATTAACTGAGCTAAAAAGTTCCTGGAAGAAAAAAAAAACAGAAAAAAGTTGCAACTAGTTAAACAATAGAGCTTTTGAATGACTATGACCTCATGTCATTCTGAATGAGAGGAACAAAATCTTGGACAGGTTTAGTTCATCAGCTTGCAGGGAAAAATGAGGAAAGTGGGGCGTGAAAAGCAAAGACACCACAGCGAAAAAATGAAGTGAAAGTAGCAACACATTCTATGAACTTTGATAAAGTTTGCTGAAGTTTAAGTTCCGTTAAGTTTGGGAACTTTGTGTAGCTTTAAGAGTGTAATTAGTAACTGAGTTAAAGTGACTGAAAGAGCTGAGCCTTAATGTTGAGTAAGTGAATAAGGTGAAGCTCCTCCACCTGTCACTCCCACCCCCACCCTAAATATATATGTACCATGTATGAATACACTTTTCTAATTAAAGAAAACTTAAATAAATAACAACAGGAGATGGGCTTATTTGGAGGCTGGAATACATTAACAGAAATTATCTAAATGAAGAGTTACTTAGATCAATTTTGACATTGATTTCAGTGTTGAAAATTGTTAAAATTTAAAGATTAATAGTCCCTGAGTCATTGAGAGAAATTTTTAATTGACAATCTGGCAATATGTCTGATTCCTTGTATTGACAATCTGGCAATATGTCTGATTCCTTGTATTGACAATCTGGCAATATGTCTGATTCCTTGTATTGACAATCTGGCAATATGTCTGATTCCTTGTATTGACAATCTGGCAATATGTCTGATTCCTTGTATTGACAATCTGGCAATATGTCTGATTCCTTGTTGTAAAGACAGAATTGTTGGGTCAAACTTGCCCCCAAACAAAGTATTGCAAATAACTACAGAAGGAATTGTAAAAGTGGCCATAAAAATAATAAAATATAAAAGTGGCCATAAAATATAAGTGGCCATAAAATATAAAAGTGGCCATAAAATATAAAAGTGGCCATAAAATATAAAAGTGGCCATAAAATATAAAAGTGGCCATAAAATATAAAAGTGGCCATAAAATATAAAAGTGGCCATAAAATATAAAAGTGGCCATAAAATATAAAAGTGGCCATAAAATATAAAAGTGGCCATAAAATATAAAAGTGGCCATAAAATATAAAAGTGGCCATAAAATATAAAAGTGGCCATAAAATATAAATGTGGCCATAAAATATAAAAGTGGCCATAAAATATAAAAGTGGCCATAAAATATAAAAGTGGCAATAAAATATAAAAGTGGCAATAAAATATAAAAGTGGCCATAAAATATAAAAGTGGCCATAAAATATAAAAGTGGCCATAAAATATAAAAGTGGCCATAAAATATAAAAGTGGCCATAAAATATAAAAGTGGCCATAAAATATAAAAGTGGCCATAAACTATAAAAGTGGCCATAAAATATAAAAGTGGCCATAAAATATAAAAGTGGCCATAAAATATAAAAGTGGCCATAAACTATAAAAGTGGCCATAAAATATAAAAGTGGCCATAAAATATAAAAGTGGCCATAAAATATAAAAGTGGCCATAAAATATAAAAGTGGCCATGTTGTATTGAACCAAACTAGATCAGAACAAAAGAGAAGGTCCTCTACGAGGTCATCAAGTTCTGTAACAACAGAGCAGGAGGAGGAGGAGGAGGACTACCCAGAGGAAATGACCTTTGAGGAGGATCCCGTCTGGGACGATGTCAGATACGTGGAGGAAGAAATGGAGAAGAAGTAAGAAGCAACCAACTTTTGGATCTTGGCCATTTGGTCTGGATTTTGGCCATTTGGTCTGGATTTTGGCCTATTATTGGTCTTTTTATTCTGGATTTTGGTCTTTTTATTCTGGATTTTGGTCTTTTTGTTCTGGATTTTGGTCTTTTTATTCTGGATTTTGGCCATTTGGTCTGGATTTTGGCCATTTGGTCTGGATTTTGGCCTATTATTGGTCTTTTTATTCTGGATTTTGGTCTTTTTGTTCTGGATTTTGGTCTTTTTATTCTGGATTTTGGTCTTTTTATTCTGGATTTTGGCCTTTTTTTACATTTGTTATCTCACTATTCTTGGAATTTACTTTTCATTGACATCACTGAGATCAAGTTGACATCACTGAGATCAAGTTGACATCACTGAGATCAAGTTGACATCACTGAGATCAAGTTGACATCACTGAGATTAAGTTGACATCACTGAGATTAAGTTGACATCACTGAGATTAAGTTGACATCACTGAGATTAAGTTGACATCACTGAGATCAAGTTGACATCACTGAGATCAAGTTGACATCACTGAGATCAAGTTGACATCACTGAGATCAAGTTGACATCACTGAGATCAAGTTGACATCACTGAGATCAAGTTGACATCACTGAGATCAAGTTGACATGACTTACAAAATTTTTCCCCAGTGTGTCTGTGGGGGAGGGGGAGGACGACGCTGTAGGCAGCTACCAGCACTCTGCCACAGTCCAGGAAATGGCAAACGCAGGAAAAATTGTAAGTTGATTTTTTAACCACCCACTGAAGATTGAGTGGATTTTTTAACCATCCACTGAAGATTGAGTGGATTTTTTAACCATCCACTGAAGATTGAGTGGATTTTTTAACCACCCACTGAAGATTGAGTGGATTTTTTAACCATCCACTGAAGATTGAGTGGATTTTTTAACCACCCACTGAAGATTGAGTGGATTTTTTAACCATCCACTGAAGATTGAGTGGATTTTTTAACCACCCACTGAAGATTGAGTGGATTTTTTAACCATCCACTGAAGATTGAGTGGATTTTTTAACCACCCACTGAAGATTGAGTGGATTTTTTAACCCTCCACTGAAGATTGAGTGGATTTTTTAACCTTCCACTGAAGATTGAGTGGATTTTTTAACCATCCACTGAAGATTGAGTGGATTTTTTAACCATCCACTGAAGATTGAGTGGATTTTCAACTCGTTTTTTTGTGTTGATTGCTGAAGTTTGAGTTTCTCATTTGCTTTGTTTCCATTTCATGCCTTCAAGTTTGAGGAGAAACTAGAAGATGTGAGCTTCTAATGGGAGGGGAGTGGAACGGGGGGGGGGGGGGAGAGATGATGGCAGAAGATGATAAAAAAATGGACACAAAAATAATGTCTTTTGTTTTTTCCTTGCTTCAATGTTTTTTGTAAACTTTCAAGTCTTTCAAGGAGCCAAAGTGTTGATAAGTTGATCCACCCAGGTTGATAAGTTGATCCACCCAGGTTGAAAAGTTGATCCACCCAGGTTGATAAGTTGATCCACCCAGGTTGATAAGTTGATCCACCCAGGTTGATAAGTTGATCCACCCAGGTTGATAAGTTGATCCACCCAGGTTGATAAGTTGATCCATCCAGGTTGATAAGTTGATCCACCCAGGTTGATAAGTTGATCCACCCAGGTTGATAAGTTTAACCATCCAAAGTGTTGATAAGTTGATCCATCCAGGTTGATAAGTTGATCCACCCAGGTTGATAAGTTGATCCACCCAGGTTGATAAGTTGATCCACCCAGGTTGATAAGTTGATCCATCCAAAGTGTTGATAAGTTGATCCACCCAGGTTGATAAGTTGATCCATCCAAAGTGTTAAGTTGATCCACCCAGGTTGATAAGTTGATCTATCCAAAGTGTTGATAAGTTGATCCACCCAGGTTGATAAGTTGATCCACCTAGGTTGATAAGTTGATCCACCCAGGTTGATAAGTTGATCCACCCATGTTGATAAGTTGATCCACCCAGGTTGATAAGTTGATCCATCCAGGTTGATAAGCTGATCCATCAAAAGTGTTGATAAGTTGATCCATTTTAAGTGTTGAGAAGTTGATCCACCCAGGTTGATAAGTTGATCCATCAAAAGTGTTGATAAGTTGATCCATTTAAAGTATTGAGAAGTTGATCCACCCAGGTTGATAAGTTGATCCACCCAGGTTGATAAGTTGATCCACCCAGGTTGATAAGTTGATCCACCCAGGTTGATAAGTTGATCCATCCAGGTTGATAAATTGATCCATCCAAAGTGTTGATAAGTTGATCCACCCAGGTTGACAAGTTGATCCAACCAGGTTGATAAGTTTAACCATCCAAAGTGTTGATAAGTTGATCCACCCAGGTTGATAAGTTGATCCATCCAAAGTGTTGATAGGTTGATCCACCCAAAGTGTTGATAAGTTGATCCATCCAAAGTGTTGATAAGTTGATCCATCCAAAGTGTTGATAAGTTGATCCATCCAAAGTGTTGATAAGTTGATCCACCCAGGTTGAAAAGTTGATCCATCCAAAGTGTTGATAAGTTGATCCACCCAGGTTGATAAGTTGATCCACCCAGGTTGATAAATTGATCCATCCAAAGTGTTGATAAGTTGATCCATCCAGGTTGATAAGTTGATCCACCCAGGTTGATAAGTTGATCCACCCAGGTTGATAAGTTTAACCATCCAAAGTGTTGATAAGTTGATCCATCCAGGTTGATAAGTTGATCCACCCAGGTTGATAAGTTGATCCACCCAGGTTGATAAGTTGATCCACCCAGGTTGATAAGTTGATCCATCCAAAGTGTTGATAAGTTGATCCACCCAGGTTGATAAGTTGATCCATCCAAAGTGTTGATAAGTTGATCCACCCAGGTTGATAAGTTGATCTATCCAGGTTGATAAGTTGATCCACCCAGGTTGATAAGCTGATCCATCCAAAGTGTTGATAAGTTGATCCACCCAGGTTGATAAGTTGATCCATCCAGGTTGATAAATTGATCCATCCAAAGTGTTGATAAGTTGATCCACCCAGGTTGACAAGTTGATCCACCCAGGTTGATAAGTTGATTCATCCAAAGTGTTGATAAGTTGATCCACCCAGGTTGATAAGTTGATCCATCCAAAGTGTTGATAAGTTGATCCACCCAAAGTGTTGATAAGTTGATCCATCCAAAGTGTTGATAAGTTGATCCATCCAAAGTGTTGATAAGTTGATCCATCCAAAGTGTTGATAAGTTGATCCACCCAGGTTGATAAGTTGATCCACCCAGGTTGATAAGTTGATCCACCCAGGTTGATAAGTTGATCCATCCAGGTTGATAAATTGATCCATCCAAAGTGTTGATAAGTTGATCCACCCAGGTTGATAAGTTGATCCACCCCGGTTGATAAGTTGATTCATCCAAAGTGTTGATAAGTTGATCCACCCAGGTTGATAAGTTGATCCATCCAAAGTGTTGATAAGTTGATCCACCCAAAGTGTTGATAAGTTGATCCATCCAAAGTGCTGATAAGTTGATAAGTTGATCCATCCAAAGTGTTGATAAGTTGATCCATCCAAAGTGTTGATAAGTTGATCCACCCAGGTTGATAAGTTGATCCATCCAAAGTGTTGATAAGTTGATCCACCCAGGTTGATAAGTTGATCCACCCAGGTTGATAAGTTGATCCATCCAGGTTGATAAGTTGATCCACCCAGGTTGATAAGTTGATCCACCCAGGTTGATAAGTTGATCCATCCAAAGTGTTGATAAGTTGATCCACCCAGGTTGATAAGTTGATCCACCCAGGTTGAAAAGTTGATCCACCCAGGTTGATAAGTTGATCCACCCAGGTTGATAAGTTGATCCATCCAAAGTGTTGATAAGTTGATCCATCCAAAGTGTTGATAAGTTGATCCATCCAAAGTGTTGATAAGTTGATCCATCCAAAGTGTTGATAAGTTGATCCATCCAAAGTGTTGATAAATTGATCCATCCAAAGTGTTGATAAGTTGATCCACCCAGGTTGATAAATTGATCCATCCAAAGTGTTGATAAGTTGATCCTCCCAGGTTGATAAGTTGATCCACCCATGACTACATGAGCAAACAGGTTGAAATGTAGTCACCAGACAGAAGACCAAACTCTGTCGTCTGACTCTGTCGTCTGACTCTAGTTTTGCTTCCAATTGTTCTTGTCTGCCTGCCAGGAGGAAGAGAGCGTTGAACTGACTGAAGCCGAGGAGGCAATCAAAGCTTATTTAGAAGATAACGAGCCTCTGCCAAACCACGTCTTAGACAACATCATTCAAGTCTGGTGGAAGTCAGAGCCATTCAAGTAGGTCACATGACTCACATAGCCATTCAAGTAGGTCACATGACTCACTTAGACATTCAAGTAGGTCACATGACTCACTTAGACATTCAAGTAGGTCACATGACTCACTTAGACATTCAAGTAGGTCACATGACTCACTTAGACATTCCAGTAGGTTACATGACTCACTTAGACATTCCAGTAGGTTACATGACTCCCACTATGTGTACACCAACTGTCAACTGACTTCTTCCTAAAGACCCAATTAATTGCAGAAATTATTTCTTGTTTTTTAACTGTCATAACTACATCACTTCTTTCATTTAGATTCAAATAATCTTCCCATTGTTATTATTTTCTAATGCCTGTCATCTTCCCATATGTTGTTGCTGACATTATGACAGATCTACTGGCTTTATACTGGAGGGTTTCCCTCGTACAACTGATGAGGTCAAGTACCTACAGGAGTCTGGCTTGATGCCAGATGCTGCTGTCATTCTACAGGTCTGACACTTTTCACATCACATTTTTAATCCAATGGAAATCCTTTTTTTTGTCATATCACATTTTTAATCCAATGGGAATCCTTGTTTCTGTCATATCACATTTTTAATCCAATGGGAATCCTTGTTTCTGTCATATCACATTTTTAATCCAATGGGAATCCTTGTTTCTGTCATATCACATTTTTAATCCAATGGGAATCCTTGTTTCTGTCATATCACATTTTTAATCCAATGGGAATCCTTGTTTCTGTCATATCACATTTTTAATCCAATGGGAATCCTTGTTTCTGTCATATCACATTTTTAATCCAATGGGAATCCTTGTTTCTGTCATATCTGTGACGTCGCAGGTGAGTGAGAGTGAGGTCATCGGCCGCTTGCTGCCCCCCAAGCTAGAGAAGTGGAGGACCAAGAGAGAGAAAAGATTGGCCAAAAAAACACACAAGAAGGAGAAGGCTCGCAAAAAGAAGGTGAACCCTGATATTTCAAATCTTTTGTTTAGTGGCAAACCTTTGGGGTGGGGGGTGTGTGGCAAACCTTTGGGGGAGTGTTCAAATGTTCAAATGGTGATTCTTGCCATCATGTTCTAGAGCAGGGGTTCCCAACCTTTTTTTACTCTAGAGCACATTCTAAAATATCGGTAGGGTGGCGGGCACCACCTATTTTAAATCGACAAACTCCATCCAGAAGCGTAGCGACCCTTCCCGTCACCCGGGTACAAAACTTTTGATTTGCACCCCCCCACCCCCCTCAAACTTTCGATTTGCATCCCCCCCCCCTCAAATTTTCGATTTCCATCCCCTTCAACCTTTCAATAATGTTAATGAAAAAAATTCTCTGTCGAATAGTGAGAGGCGGGCACAAACGAAACGTTTGGCGGGCGCCCGCGGGCACGGGGTTGGGAACCCCTGTTCTAGAGGGCTTGCTAGAATTTCCTGACACTTTTTTTTTTTAAATTGAGTCTTTTAGAGATATGGATAGGTTAGGTTATGTACAGGTTAGGTTATGGATAGGTTAGGTTATGGACAGGTTAGGTTATGGACAGGTTAGGTTATGGACAGGTTAGGTTATGGATAGGTTAGGTTATGGATAGGTTAGGTTATGGATAGGTTAGGTTATGGACAGTTAGGTTATGGATAGGTTAGGTTATGGACAGGTTAGGTTATGGATAGGTTAGGTTATGGATAGGTTAGGTTATGGATAGGTTAGGTTATGGACAGGTTAGGTTATGGATAGGTTAGGTTATGGACAGGTTAGGTTATGGACAGGTTAGGTTATGGACAGGTTAGGTTATGGACAGGTTAGGTTATGGACAGGTTAGGTTATGGATAGGTTAGGTTATGGACAGGTTAGGTTATGGATAGGTTAGGTTATGGACGGGTTAGGTTATGGATAGGTTAGGTTATGGATAGGTTAGGTTATGGATAGGTTAGGTTAGGTTATGGACAGGTTAGGTTGTGGACAGGTTAGGTTATGGACAGGTTAGGTTATGGATAGGTTAGGTTATGGATAGGTTAGGTTATGGATAGGTTAGCCAGGGGGTTGGGATTATGGATAGGGTTATGGATAGGGAGCTGGATTTGCAGATGGATTGGTATGATATGTAAATGTCCAAGAGTTTTGTCCTAGAACCATAACAATACGTTTGAACACGTTGGGAAAATTAAGCTTTGATGAATGCAAGTAAATCTTGTATGCAACTTTTAAATTCACCGTTCAATTATTCAGTTGAGTAAAACAGGTTAAGTTTTATTTCAGAAGAAATATTTTGGCCAACATAATTTATTTCAGAAGAAATATTTTGGCCAAAATAATTTATTTCAGAAGAAATATTTTGGCCAACATAGTTTATTTCAGAAGAAATATTTTGGCCAACATAATCTAGCCTTCAGCATTAGCAAATTATATTTGTTTTTCCACATGTCCTTCAATACATGATCCACATGTCATTTGATACACGATCCACATGTCAATCAATACACGATCCGCATGTCATTTGATACATGATCCACATGTCATTTGATACATGATCCACATGTCATTTGATACATGATCCACATGTCAATCAATACACGATCCGCATGTCATTTGATACATGAACCACATGTCATTCAATACATGATCCACATGTCATTCAATACATGAACCACATGTCATTCAATAGATAATACACATGTCATTCAATAGATGATCCACATGTCATTCAATACATGATCCACATGTCATTCAATATATTATCCACATGTCATTTAATACATGAACCACATGTCATTCAATACATGAACCACATGTCATTCATTACATTATCCACATGTCATTTGATACATGAACCATATGTCATTCAATACATGATCCACATGTCATTCAATACATTATCCACATGTCATACAATGCATTATCCACATGTCATTCAATACATGATCCACATGTCATTCAATACATGATCCACATGTCATACAATGCATTATCCACATGTCATTCAATACATGATCCACATGTCATTTGATACATGAACCATATGTCATTCAATATATTATCCACATGTAATTCAATACATGAACCACATGTCATTTGATACATGAACCATATGTCAGTGAATGAACCAAATCTATTTGAACCAATCAGGAGGAAGCCATGGCCAAACGTAGAGAAGAGTTGGTGCTTGAACGTGAGGAAAGAAAAAAAGTCAGAAGGGTGAGTTTGATTGAAGGCTGAGTGATTGAAAGCTGGGTGATTGAAAGCTGAGTTTGATTGAAGGCTGAGTGATTGAAAGCTGGGTGATTGAAAGCTGAGTGATTGAAAGCTGAGTGATTGAAAGCTGAGTTTGATTGAAGGCTGAGTGATTGAAAGCTGAGTGATTGAAAGCTGAGTGATTGAAAGCTGAGTGATTGAAAGCTGAGTTTGATTGAAAGCTGAGTGATTGAAAGCTGAGTGATTGAAAGCTGAGTGATTGAAAGCTGAGTGATTGAAAGCTGAGTTCGATTGGAGGCTGAGTGATTGAAAGCTGAGTGATTGAAAGCTGAGTGATTGAAAGCTGGGTGATTGAAAGCTGAGTGATTGAAGGCTGAGTGATTGAAAGCTGAGTTTGATTGAAAGCTGAGTGATTGAAAGCTGAGTGATTGAAAGCTGAGTGATTGAAAGCTGAGTGATTGAAAGCTGAGTGATTGAAAGCTGAGTGATTGAAAGCTGAGTGATTGAAAGCTGAGTGATTGAAAGCTGAGTTTGATTGGAGGCTGAGTGATTGAAAGCTGAGTGATTGAAAGCTGAGTGATTGAAAGCTGAGTGATTGAAAGCTGAGTTTGATTGGAGGCTGAGTGATTGAAAGCTGAGTGATTGAAAGCTGAGTGATTAAAAGCTGAGTTTGATTGAAGTATTATTTTTGAAGGCTGAGTTTTAAGTCCTATGCATACTACAGTTGCTAAAATTGCTGATCTAAAGTTTGAGTCTAGAATAAACTTTGTTATATTGGTTTACAGGCAGAGAAGGAGGCAGAGAGTTTTTATAACAAAGAGGAAGAGGAAGGAGAAGGAGAAAGTAGTGAGGAGGAGGAAGAAGAGGAAGAGGAAGATATTGATGCCATTCTGGCAGAGGAATTTGAGGTGAGGGCATCACATGAGAACTTTAATATGCCACTAGAAACATGAGAACTTTAATATGCCACTAGAAACATGAGAACTTTAATATGTCACTAGAAGCATGAGAACTTTAATATGCCACTAGAAACATGAGAACTTTAATATGCCACTAGAAACATGAGAACTTTAATATGCCACTAGAAACATGAGAACTTTAATATGCCACTAGAAACATAACATGAGAACTTTAATATGCCACTAGAAACATGAGAACTTTAATATGCCACTAGAAACATGAGAACTTTAATATGCCACTAGAAACATAACATGAGAACTTTAATATGCCACTAGAAATATAACATGAGAACTTTAATATGCCACTAGAAACATGAGAACTTTAATATGCCACTAGAAACATGAGAACTTTAATATGCCACTAGAAACATGAGAACTTTAATATGCCACTAGAAACATAACATGAGAACTTTAATATGCCACTAGAAATATAACATGAGAACTTTAATATGCCACTAGAAATATAACATGAGAACTTTAATATGCCACTAGAAACATGAGAACTTTAATATGCCACTAGAAACATGAGAACTTTAATATGCCACTAGAAACATGAGAACTTTAATATGCCACTAGAAACATGAGAACTTTAATATGCCACTAGAAACATAACATGAGAACTTTAATATGCCACTAGAAATATAACATGAGAACTTTAATATGCCACTAGAAACATGAGAACTTTAATATGCCACTAGAAACATGAGAACTTTAATATGCCACTAGAAACATGAGAACTTTAATATGCCACTAGAAACATAACATGAGAACTTTAATATGCCACTAGAAACATGAGAACTTTAATATGCCACTAGAAACATGAGAACTTTAATATGCCACCAGAAACATGAGAACTTTAATATGCCACTAGAAACATGAGAACTTTAATATGCCACTAGAAACATGATAATTTTATGCAGGAAGAAGAAGAAGAAGAGGAGGAAGATGAAGAAAATGAGGAAGATGCTATCGAACGAATGAAGAATGACTTTAATGAGATTTATGATGATGACACCAACAGGATTGTGGCTGTGGAGGTTAGTGATGGTTACATCATACATTCATCTTACTATACATACATACATACATACATACATACATACATACATACATACATACATACATACATACATACATACATACATACATACATACATACATACATACATACATAGATACATACATACATACATACATACATATGTACGTATGTACGTAGGTACGTACTTATGTACGTACCTATGTACGTACATACATACATACATACATACATACATACATACATACATACATACATACATACATACATACATACATACTTGACAAATAACATTATACACTTACTAAAAAAAAGAAAATTCCCATTCGAACTCTGACGACCCATGGGGCAACTGAAGTAGAGTTCACTTGTTTCTGTAACCTCAGCATATGAAGAGATAGTGTGAGCAACACTATGCCCAGCCACCTTTACTTGCCCTAATGTGAGTTAGGTTTCCATTAGAGCTGGGTGGACTCAACAACATATTATGGAATTGAACCCGGATTTGAACTCAAGACTTTCAGGTTGACAAGTGAATGCTCTACCATCTGACCATGCTACCCTACACCTACTACACCTACTACACCTACTACTAAAACAAAACAAAAAATTTAATATGTTTAGGTTTAAAAGCAAAGATAAAAACAAGTTTAAGTTTAAAAACAAAGATAAAAACCAGTTTAGGCTTAAAAAAAGATAAAAACAAGTTTAAGTTTAAAAACAAAGATAAAAACAAGTTTTGGTTTAAAAAAACAAAGATAAAAAATGTTTAGGTTGCGAAATCTTGAGCCAAAGCGTTACCTTTGTACAGGAGGCCCTGGAAGAGATTCTAATCCCTCGTATCAGCATTGACGCCTCCCGCAGGCCGCACATCATCAGATACATCCTCAGTAAAAAACTCAAGCCTTACAATGAGTTCCGCCACAGCATTTTTGAGCGTGTCTACCCAATCAGTGAGCAGCAGGCAAACCTCATGCTCCAAATGGGCTATAAATATCCCAGTCGCTTCGGCCGTTGGGACCCAGTCAAGGTAAAAAAAAATGTGTTGTTAAAACTGTGACCTCATTTCTTACAAGTCTGTCACTCTGGCAAAAGGTCAAATCTGTGACAGATAGACAGATAGTCAGACAGATAGTCAGACAGATAGTCAGACAGATAGTCAGACAGATAGTCAGACAGATAGACAGACAGATAGTCAGACAGATAGTCAGACAGATAGACAGACAGATAGTCAGACAGATAGTCAGACAGATAGACAGACAGATAGTCAGACGGATAGTCAGACGGATAGCCAGACAGTCAGACAGACAGTCAGACAGATAGTCAGACAGATAGTCAGACAGATAGTCAGACAGATAGTCAGACAGATAGACAGACAGATAGTCAGACAGATAGACAGACAGATAGTCAGACAGATAGCCAGACAGTCAGACAGATAGTCAGACAGATAGTCAGACAGATAGACAGACAGATAGTCAGACAGATAGTCAGACAGTCAGACAGATAGTCAGACAGATAGTCAGACAGATAGTCAGACAGATAGTCAGACAGATAGTCAGACAGATAGTCAGACAGATAGTCAGACAGACAGATAGTCAGACAGTTAGTCAGACAGATAGTCAGACAGATAGACAGACATAGACAGACAGATAGTCAGACAGATAGTCAGACAGATAGTCAGACAGATAGACAGATAGTCAGACAGATAGTCAGACAGATAGTCAGACAGATAGTCAGACAGATAGTCAGACAGATAGTCAGACAGATAGTCAGACAGATAGTCAGACAGATAGTCAGACAGATAGTCAGACAGATAGTCAGACAGATAGACAGATAGTCAGACAGATAGTCAGACAGATAGTCAGACAGACAGATAGTCAGACAGATAGTCAGACAGATAGTCAGACAGATAGTCAGACAGACAGATAGTCAGACAGTTAGTCAGACAGACAGATAGTCAGACAGATAGTCAGACAGATAGTCAGACAGATAGTCAGACAGATAGTCAGACAGACAGATAGTCAGACAGTTAGTCAGACAGATAGTCAGATAGTCAGACAGATAGTCAGACAGATAGTCAGGCAGATAGTCAGGCAGATAGTCAGACAGATAGTCAGACAGATAGTCAGACAGATAGTCAGACAGATAGACAGATAGTCAGACAGATAGTCAGACAGATAGTCAGACAGATAGTCAGACAGATAGTCAGACAGACAGATAGTCAGACAGTTAGTCAGACAGATAGACAGACAGATAGCCAGACAGATAGTCAGATAGACAGATAGTCAGACAGATAGTCAGACAGATAGTCAGACAGATAGTCAGATAGTCAGACAGATAGTCAGACAGATAGTCAGACAGATAGTCAGACAGATAGTCAGACAGATAGTCAGACAGATAATCAGACAGATAGTCAGACAGATAGTCAGACAGACAGATAGTCAGACAGATAGTCAGACAGATAGTCAGACAGATAGTCAGACAGATAGTCAGACAGATAGTCAGACAGATAGACAGACAGATAGTCAGACAGATAGTCAGACAGATAGACAGACAGATAGTCAGACAGATAGTCAGACAGATAGACAGACAGATAGTCAGACGGATAGTCAGACGGATAGCCAGACAGTCAGACAGACAGTCAGACAGATAGTCAGACAGATAGTCAGACAGATAGTCAGACAGATAGTCAGACAGATAGACAGACAGATAGTCAGACAGATAGACAGACAGATAGTCAGACAGATAGCCAGACAGTCAGACAGATAGTCAGACAGATAGTCAGACAGATAGACAGACAGATAGTCAGACAGATAGTCAGACAGTCAGACAGATAGTCAGACAGATAGTCAGACAGATAGTCAGACAGATAGTCAGACAGATAGTCAGACAGATAGTCAGACAGATAGTCAGACAGATAGTCAGACAGACAGATAGTCAGACAGTTAGTCAGACAGATAGTCAGACAGATAGACAGACATAGACAGACAGATAGTCAGACAGATAGTCAGACAGATAGTCAGACAGATAGACAGATAGTCAGACAGATAGTCAGACAGATAGTCAGACAGATAGTCAGACAGATAGTCAGACAGATAGTCAGACAGATAGTCAGACAGATAGTCAGACAGATAGTCAGACAGATAGTCAGACAGATAGTCAGACAGATAGACAGATAGTCAGACAGATAGTCAGACAGATAGTCAGACAGACAGATAGTCAGACAGATAGTCAGACAGATAGTCAGACAGATAGTCAGACAGACAGATAGTCAGACAGTTAGTCAGACAGACAGATAGTCAGACAGATAGTCAGACAGATAGTCAGACAGATAGTCAGACAGATAGTCAGACAGACAGATAGTCAGACAGTTAGTCAGACAGATAGTCAGATAGTCAGACAGATAGTCAGACAGATAGTCAGGCAGATAGTCAGGCAGATAGTCAGACAGATAGTCAGACAGATAGTCAGACAGATAGTCAGACAGATAGACAGATAGTCAGACAGATAGTCAGACAGATAGTCAGACAGATAGTCAGACAGATAGTCAGACAGACAGATAGTCAGACAGTTAGTCAGACAGATAGACAGACAGATAGCCAGACAGATAGTCAGATAGACAGATAGTCAGACAGATAGTCAGACAGATAGTCAGACAGATAGTCAGATAGTCAGACAGATAGTCAGACAGATAGTCAGACAGATAGTCAGACAGATAGTCAGACAGATAGTCAGACAGATAATCAGACAGATAGTCAGACAGATAGTCAGACAGACAGATAGTCAGACAGATAGTCAGACAGATAGTCAGACAGATAGTCAGACAGATAGTCAGACAGATAGTCAGACCTCCCTCCTATTGTTTCTTGTTCAGATAGTTATTTACAGGTTATTCATGAATGATGTCAATATAAAAATTGTGAATGGTAGACACCCACCCCCAATACAAAAATTGTGAATGGTAGACCCCCCCCCCAATACAAAAATTGTGAATGGTAGACACCCCCCCTCCCAATACAAAAATTGTGAATGGTAGACACCCCTCCCAATACAAAAATTGTGAATGGTAGACCCCCCCCCCAATACAAAAATTGTGAATGGTAGACACCCCCCCCCCCCCAATACAAAAATTGTGAATGGTAGACACCCCCCCCCAATACAAAAATTGTGAATGGTAGACACCACCTCCCCCCCCCCCCATATACAATGTAAATGTCCTGGGTGTCGATATAAAAAATGATCTGAAAAGTGTATTTACATTTGTTTACCTTTGTTTACATTTTTTAATGTTTGTTTACATTTTTTAATGTTTACGTTTATTTTATTTGTCCACACCAGCTGAAAGATGGGGACTGCATCCAGCCAGCAATGGGTCAGGGCATCGCGACCTACCCCTGTATCCACAGATCCTACATTTACTTTTTCTCCAGCCGACAAAGCCGCCAGTTGTTCATGCAGGATCCCATGACCTACTTGAAGCAACCCTCGCCCAAACCTGTGGTCCCCATCAAGATGGCCATCATTGGGCCCCCCAAATCTGGGAAATCAACCAGTAAGTTTGACCAGCCCCACCCCAGCAGTTTATTAATACAAAGACATCCAATGCTCTCTACTGCAACCCCACCCCAGCAGCCCCACCCCATCCACCCCACCCATCCAGCCCCACCCATCCACCCCAGCAACCCCACCCATCCACCCCATCCAACCCCACCCCAGCAGCCCCACACCAGTAGAAAAAAAATGTCTTATTACTTTCTCGTATATACGAAGTATAGAGAAAGTATTGTAATCGTGCACAAAAATCACTTGAAATTTTAACAATTTTCACCGTATTACACCTCAATCCTTCTTCACATCCAAAGTATAGAGGACTTATTTTAATTGGGCAAAAATTATCAATCCAGATTTATCAAAATTAAAAGGTTTTATGCGTAATCCAGTCTGAAAAACTGGGCTTTGCAATTCTGTCCGTATGTCTGTGTGTCTGTCTGTGTGTGTCTGTGTGTAAACACGATTACTTGAGTACAGTTACAGCTAGGTTGATGAAATTTCATATATAAGTATTTCATCAAAATTGTAGATCCGTATCAACTTTTGAGCGATTTCCGATAACCGGAAGTGGTACGTTTTCTACTTTGAATTTTTCAAAAGCCTATAACTTAAGTACTATTTCAGATAGATAAATGAAGTTTCACATGTGAGTAAAAGATATAATTTTCTACCTTCTGTTAAATTTTCAGTAATTTCCGTTGACCGGAAGTAGTAATTTACGCTACTTCAAATTTCTCAAAAAACTAATGTAAATTTTTAAAGTACTAATAATATTGAGCACTAGTATGCACTTTTTTATTTGGCGTTCACTTGGTGTGCAATTCTTTTGTCTACGAGATTTTATTCTATTTTTAAAACTTAAAGTATTTAAAATGGATTAAAAATCGTGTCTATAGCCTGAGTTCCCATCCCCTGTTGTTTTATATAAGAATACTAGCCGTCCCAGCCAGGCCCTGCTCTGGCTTCTGCGAAAAACCTTTCTGTTAAAGACCATTACCTGTGTGTTTAGTAATCATCATAAATCCGGCATTGCCCACCCAAACCACAACCAACCAAAACAACAAAACGCAAACATAACGCTAACACAATTACAAATACAAACAAAAACCTAACAACAAACCCAACCACAATCACAAACACCAATACAAACACAAAGAAAAAACAAACAAAAAAAGCAAACGAAAACAAAAACCTAACAACAAACCCAACCACAACTACAAACACGAATACGAACACAAAGAAAAAAACAAAAACGAAAAAACAAACGAAAACAAACCAAATCCAAACGCAAAACCAACCACAAACACAAATACAAACACAAACCCAAAGAAAAAAACACAAATGAAAAAAGTAAGAACAAAAACGAACCAAATCAAAACGCAACCACTAACTGTGACTAACGCAAACCCAACCTAAACACAAAGAAAACACTAACGCGAACATAAACGCAAAGTGCCCACAGTCTAGCCCGGGGCAGAATCGCCTGTTTCAGCTTAATAATCGACTATAGTACCCTTTTTGCACTTTTTTTGCACTCACTTAAACGAACGTAGGTGCCAAACCAAACCAAATGAACAATTATAATACTCCAAGCTTATTCGTAAAATACCTACAACATTTGCACTTGATCAATCCCCGCTAATTATGTAATTATTTTTTCCCAACACCAAAACAAAGTAATAAAAAGTAAATTCTTTTCCACTAATGGAATGTTTTATAAAGGGAAGTAATTGTGTTTTCCTAATTTATCAAAGGGAAGTAAGTGCTAAAGGACTAAATATAAATAATTTTCAGACATAATTAGAATTTTTGTTATTTTTTTAAAATTGTGTTTAATGAACATGCCGACAATTATTACTATCAGTTTGAAAAATTAAAACTATTTCCCAACACTTTCAACAGTAATTTTTAACTCATAAATTTAGACTATGAGCACGATAATAGTCTAACACTTAAATCCATAGAAGTATGTCAACGACAAATTTATTTTTTCATACTAATATACAGAATTGAGCTTTATATATTAGATTCGAGAAAGTTTAGGGGAGATCACTCCCGTTTTATTTGCTCTTCAGTTGCTAGAAGATTTGTTGAAGATTATGGAGTGAAAAGATTGTCTTTTTGCTCTACAGTTGCTAGAAGATTTGTTGAAGATTATGGAGTGAAAAGATTGTCTTTTTGCTCTACAGTTGCTAGAAGATTTGTTGAAGATTATGGAGTGAAAAGATTGTCTTTTTGCTCTACAGTTGCTAGAAGATTTGTTGAAGATTATGGAGTGAAAAGATTGTCTTTTTACAAGCTTTTATTTAACTCACTTCCTCGTCAGTCTGTCGTCAGTCTAGACGGAAACGCAGAAGTGAAAATTCGGACAGTTCTACTTGACCGATACGATTCAAAGTTAGCACGTGGGTCAAGACATGAAGACAATGCAATCTGAAACTAAATTTGACTTAATTGGATGCCTAATTAATTTTTTATGAATTAATTAAAATTTGGACCGAATTAGTAGGCATGTCTAGCCAACCACACCACACGCGTCATCACCTTCAATAGCTTCAATGGCTGCGTTCAAAAACCATTGCGCGCCTACTGAACGTGATGTTCAGTAGGCGCGCAATGGTTTTTTACAAGCTTTTATTTAACTCACTTCCTCGTCAGTCGTCAGTCTAGACGGAAACGCAGGAGTGAAAATTCGGACAGTTCTACTTGACCGATACGCTTTTCTTTATAGTTATTTAAATAGTAGTCTATAATTTATTTTCTACTTTTTAGTGCATCATTACATAAAAGCTTGTTATTAAAACGTTTTTTATGAATTTTTTTTTGCTCTACAGTTGCTAGAAGAATTGTTGAGATTATGGAGTGAAAAGATTGTCTTTTTGCTCTACAGTTGCTAGAAGATTTGTTGAAGATTATGGAGTGAAAAGATTATCCATTGGAGAGGCCATGAGGACAATCCTGGCCACCCAGAAAAATACAGACTTGGCCAAGCAAATGTTCTGGCATCTGTCACGAGGGCGAGTCGTCCCTGACAATCTACAAATTCAAAGCTTAGAGGTCGCCTTGTTGGATATGACATGTCAGACACGAGGGTAGGACTGCTTTATATCCCTATCGACTGGGTTGTTTCCGTTACCTGAGGTCTGGGTTGTTTCCCTTACCTTAGGTCTGGAATGTTTCCCTTACCTTAGGTCTGGGTTGTTTCCCTTACCTTAGGTCTGGGTTGTTTACCTTACCTGAGGTCTGGGTTGTTTCCCTTACCTTAGGTCTGGGTAGTTTCCCTTACGTGAGGTCTGGGTTGTTTCCCTTACCAGAGATCTGGGTTGTTTCCCTTACCTGAGGTCTGGGTTGTTTCCCTTACCTGAGGTCTGGGTAGTTTCCCTTACCTGAGGTCTGGGTTGTTTCCCTTACCTTAGGTCTGGGTAGTTTCCCTTACGTGAGGTCTGGGTTGTTTCCCTTACCTGAGGTCTGGGTTGTTACCCTTACCTGAGGCTTGTACTGCGGGTAAGATCTGCCAAACTAAAATCTCTTGTTTGGATCAATTTTTCTGAAGATCTGACAATTTTTATCTCTCCTGTCAGCTATGTGCTAGATGGCTACCCAATGGTGGGCAGTCAAATCCAGTTGATGCGAGAGAGAAGTATCATCCCTGTCCGAGTCATTGAGCTGGAGCTGGAGAGCAAGGAGGTGATGGTGAGAGGACTCAAAGACAGGATGGTCATTCCACGGTATACGGCTCTCTCACTGTCTCACTAATGTATGCTACAGGCCTCTAGTCTAGTACTACATGACTGTCTCACTAATGTATGCTACAGGCCTCTGGTGCTACATGACTGTCTCACTAATGTATGCTACAGGCCTCTAGTGCTACATGACTGTCTCACTAATGTATGCTACAGGCCTCTAGTCTAGTGCTACATGACTGTCTCACTAATGTATGCTACAGGCCTCTAGTGCTACATGACTGTCTCACTAATGTATGCTACAGGCCTCTAGTGCTACATGACTGTCTCACTAATGTATGCTACAGGCCTCTAGTCTAGTGCTACATGACTGTCTCACTAATGTTTGCTACAGGCCTCTGGTGCTACATGACTGTCTCACTAATGTATGCTACAGGCCTCTAGTGCTACATGACTGTCTCACTAATGTATGCTACAGGCCTCTAGTCTAGTGCTACATGACTGTCTCACTAATGTTTGCTACAGGCCTCTAGTGCTACATGACTGTCTCACTAATGTATGCTACAGGCCTCTAGTGCTACAAGACTGTCTCACTAATGTATGCTACAGGCCTCTAGTGCTACATGACTGTCTCACTAATGTATGCTACAGGCCTCTAGTGCTACATGACTGTCTCACTAATGTATGCTACAGGCCTCTAGTCTAGTGCTACATGACTGTCTCACTAATGTTTGCTACAGGCCTTTAGTCTAGTGCTACATGACTGTCTCACTAATGTTTGCTACAGGCCTCTAGTCTAGTGCTACATGACTGTCTCACTAATGTATGCTACAGGCCTCTAGTGCTACATGACTGTCTCACTAATGTATGCTACAGGCCTCTAGTGCTACATGACTGTCTCACTAATGTATGCTACAGGCCTCTAGTGCTACATGACTGTCTCACTAATGTATGCTACAGGCCTCTAGTGCTACATGACTGTCTCACTAATGTATGCTACAGGCCTCTAGTCTAGTGCTACATGACTGTCTCACTAATGTATGCTACAGGCCTCTAGTGCTACATGACTGTCTCACAAATGTATGCTACAGGCCTCTAGTGCTACATGACTGTCTCACTAATGTATGCTACAGGCCTCTAGTGCTACATGACTGTTTCACTAATGTATGCTACAGGCCTCTAGTGCTACATGACTGTCTCACTAATGTATGCTACAGGCCTCTAGTGCTACATGACTGTCTCACTAATGTATGCTACAGGCCTCTAGTCTAGTGCTACATGACTGTCTCACTAATGTATGCTACAGGCCTCTAGTGCTACATGACTGTCTCACTAATGTATGCTACAGGCCTCTAGTGCTACATGACTGTCTCACTAATGTATGCTACAGGCCTCTAGTGCTACATGACTGTCTCACTAATGTATGCTACAGGCCTTTAGTGCTACATGACTGTCTCACTAATGTATGCTACAGGCCTCTAGTCTAGTGCTACATGACTGTCTCACTAATGTTTGCTACAGGCCTCTAGTCTAGTGCTACATGACTGTCTCACTAATGTTTGCTACAGGCCTCTAGTCTAGTGCTACATGACTGTCTCACTAATGTATGCTACAGGCCTCTAGTGCTACATGACTGTCTCACTAATGTATGCTACAGGCCTCTAGTCTAGTGCTACATGACTGTCTCACTAATGTATGCTACAGGCCTCTAGTGCTACATGACTGTCTCACTAATGTATGCTACAGGCCTCTAGTGCTACATGACTGTCTCACTAATGTATGCTACAGGCCTCTAGTGCTACATGACTGTCTCACTAATGTATGCTACAGGCCTCTAGTGCTACACGACTGTCTCACTAATGTATGCTACAGGCCTCTAGTCTAGTGCTACATGACTGTCTCACTAATGTATGCTACAGGCCTCTAGTGCTACATGACTGTCTCACTAATGTATGCTACAGGCCTCTGGTGCTACATGACTGTCTCACTAATGTATGCTACAGGCCTCTAGTCTAGTGCTACATGACTGTCTCACTAATGTTTGCTACAGGCCTCTGGTGCTACATGACTGTCTCACTAATGTATGCTACAGGCCTCTAGTCTAGTGCTACATGACTGTCTCACTAATGTTTGCTACAGGCCTCTGGTGCTACATGACTGTCTCACTAATGTATGCTACAGGCCTCTAGTCTAGTGCTACATGACTGTCTCACTAATGTATGCTACAGGCCTCTAGTCTAGTGCTACATGACTGTCTCACTAATGTTTGCTACAGGCCTCTAGTCTAGTGCTACATGACTGTCTCACTAATGTATGCTACAGGCCTCTAGTGCTACAAGACTGTCTCACTAATGTATGCTACAGGCCTCTAGTGCTACATGACTGTCTCACTAATGTATGCTACAGGCCTCTAGTCTAGTGCTACATGACTGTCTCACTAATGTTTGCTACAGGCCTCTGGTGCTACATGACTGTCTCACTAATGTATGCTACAGGCCTCTAGTGCTACATGACTGTCTCACTAATGTATGCTACAGGCCTCTAGTGCTACATGACTGTCTCACTAATGTATGCTACAGGCCTCTAGTCTAGTGCTACATGACTGTCTCACTAATGTATGCTACAGGCCTCTAGTGCTACATGACTGTCTCACTAATGTATGCTACAGGCCTCTAGTGCTACATGACTGTCTCACTAATGTATGCTACAGGCCTCTAGTGCTACACGACTGTCTCACTAATGTATGCTACAGGCCTCTAGTCTAGTGCTACATGACTGTCTCACTAATGTATGCTACAGGCCTCTGGTGCTACATGACTGTCTCACTAATGTATGCTACAGGCCTCTAGTCTAGTGCTACATGACTGTCTCACTAATGTTTGCTACAGGCCTCTGGTGCTACATGACTGTCTCACTAATGTATGCTACAGGCCTCTAGTCTAGTGCTACATGACTGTCTCACTAATGTTTGCTACAGGCCTCTGGTGCTACATGACTGTCTCACTAATGTATGCTACAGGCCTCTAGTCTAGTGCTACATGACTGTCTCACTAATGTATGCTACAGGCCTCTAGTCTAGTGCTACATGATTGTCTCACTAATGTTTGCTACAGGCCTCTAGTCTAGTGCTACATGACTGTCTCACTAATGTATGCTACAGGCCTCTAGTGCTACAAGACTGTCTCACTAATGTATGCTACAGGCCTCTAGTGCTACATGACTGTCTCACTAATGTATGCTACAGGCCTCTAGTGCTACATGACTGTCTCACTAATGTATGCTACAGGCCTCTGGTGCTACATGACTGTCTCACTAATGTATGCTACAGGCCTCTAGTGCTACATGACTGTCTCACTAATGTATGCTACAGGCCTCTAGTGCTACATGACTGCCTCACTAATGTTTGCTACAGGCCTCTAGTCTAGTGCTACATGACTGTCTCACTAATGTATGCTACAGGCATCTAGTCTAGTGCTACATGACTGTCTCACTAATGTATGCTACAGGCCTCTAGTGCTACATGACTGTCTCACTAATGTTTGCTACAGGCCTCTGGTGCTACATGACTGTCTCACTAATGTATGCTACAGGCCTCTAGTGCTACATGACTGTCTCACTAATGTATGCTACAGGCCTCTAGTGCTACATGACTGTCTCACTAATGTATGCTACAGGCCTCTAGTCTAGTGCTACATGACTGTCTCACTAATGTATGCTACAGGCCTCTAGTGCTACATGACTGTCTCACTAATGTTTGCTACAGGCCTCTGGTGCTACACGACTGTCTCACTAATGTATGCTACAGGCCTCTAGTGCTACATGACTGTCTCACTAATGTATGCTACAGGCCTCTAGTGCTACATGACTGTCTCACTAATGTTTGCTACAGGCCTCTAGTCTAGTGCTACATGACTGTCTCACTAATGTATGCTACAGGCCTCTGGTGCTACATGACTGTCTCACTAATGTTTGCTACAGGCCTCTAGTGCTACATGACTGTCTCACTAATGTATGCTACAGGCCTCTAGTGCTACATGACTGTCTCACTAATGTATGCTACAGGCCTCTAGTCTAGTGCTACATGACTGTCTCACTAATGTTTGCTACAGGCCTCTAGTCTAGTGCTACATGACTGTCTCACTAATGTTTGCTACAGGCCTCTAGTCTAGTGCTACATGACTGTCTCACTAATGTATGCTACAGGCCTCTAGTGCTACAAGACTGTCTCACTAATGTATGCTACAGGCCTCTAGTGCTACATGACTGTCTCACTAATGTATGATACAGGCCTCTAGTGCTACATGACTGTCTCACTAATGTATGCTACAGGCCTCTAGTGCTACATGACTGTCTCACTAATGTATGCTACAGGCCTCTAGTGCTACATGACTGTCTCACTAATGTATGCTACAGGCCTCTAGTGCTACATGACTGTCTCACTAATGTTTGCTACAGGCCTCTGGTGCTACATGACTGTCTCACTAATGTATGCTACAGGCCTCTAGTGCTACATGACTGTCTCACTAATGTTTGCTACAGGCCTCTAGTGCTACATGACTATCTCACTGTTTGCTACAGGCCTCTAGTGCTACATGACTGTCTCACTAATGTTTGCTACAGGCCTCTGGTGCTATATGACTGTCTCACTAATGTATGCTACAGGCCTCTAGTGCTACATGACTGTCTTACTAATGTTTGCTACAGGCCTCTAGTGCTACATGACTATCTCACTGTTTGCTACAGGCCTCTAGTGCTACATGACTGTCTCACTAATGTATGCTACAGGCCTCTAGTGCTACATGACTGTCTCACTAATGTATGCTACAGGCCTCTAGTGCTACATGACTGTCTCACTAATGTATGCTACAGGCCTCTAGTCTAGTGCTACATGACTGTCTCACTAATGTATGCTACAGGCCTCTAGTGCTACATGACTGTCTCACTAATGTATGCTACAGGCCTCTAGTGCTACATGACTGTCTCACTAATGTATGCTACAGGCCTCTAGTGCTACATGACTGTCTCACTAATGTATGCTACAGGCC